TTTTTTAACGCTGAAAATTATTTTCAAACTAATATCTTTACATATCTTGATGTTTTTGTCTTTAAAAATGTCAACAATTAACTTTTTTAACAATTTTATATCAATATTTTACTAAAAACATGATTATTAAACTGAATTCCTATCGCTGCACAAAGTAGCCCCATTTGGGGGCTACTTTGTGCAAGGTATGTTTTGACTTATTATTCGTAAATATTACATACAAATAATGCCAATATTGATCAAATTCACTCGTCTGAGTCCAGTTATAAATATAATATCGATAAATTTTACTAAAGTTTGAATTAACATGTTTTTTTACATGTCAAAGTTCAAAAACTGCGAAATCCTGCACAAAGTAGCCCCGAATGACGGTACTCTTTTTATTTAATTTTCACGTATAAACTGATGATTAATCTACTCGGCACTATCTTTCGATACATGCTAAATACAAGTCAGTTACTCTATCACAATTTGAAATATAAAGCCCACGGTATTTTAGATTCTTCATAATTTTTGTGACAAAATTATACCAATGCAATTAGCAGCTTTTGAAAGGTAGTTAAATAATATACAGTTGTTTGGTTTTAGATTTTTGACAATTATTTTTGTTTTTGTAAAATTAACGTAAAAAGAAAGTTTTAGCATCAACCAAATCAGTTTGATCCGAAATAAAAATTAATTTTAAAAAATCGAAAAACTGACAAATGTTTAAATTACTTACAACCACAAATCGCATGGCTGCTTTGTTAAAGTTTTGAGAAAAATTCTATAAAAGTTTTAAAAATTATCAAGCTCTCTATTTCTCTTAATCTAATAAAATGAACTCTTTATTGTCTACCTTTTTTAAAAGGTACTATGCTGTCGAATAATACTTTATCAAGAGTTTGTTAAGTATGAAAAAATATCAAGAAAACTCAAATCTAAAATTGAACCTAAAATTCAAGATGGCGAGAGTAGAGGCCTCTTGACTATTGTGCATGGAAAAAAGCGTTCTCGTTTACTCCGTGGTTTTTTAATTAAAGAGGGGGAACTGGTGTTAGTTTTACCCAAAAAGTGTTTGTAGAATCAGAAATTTTTAAAACGAACGAATTTAAATATTAATTTTCATCAAGACTTAAGGGCGAAACCATTTGTTTACATGATCTTTTATAAATTTGTTTAAAATACTGCGCATAGTGATTGATAAAATTCCTTGAATTTTAACATATAAAAATAATACATTAGATTTGCTAATACTAGGAAAAATTATTTGTAAAACTATGAAAATTCCTTAATAGTTGAGGTTAAAAAATACCAATCCTAACATTCCCATTTCGCCTTTTTTCTTTCAAGATAATGGTGTGATCTCATAATGAGGACTGTCTTCAGTTGTTTTTTAATATGATATTGAAATTAGAGTTATCATTGTATAAACCACATTATCTTTACCTGTATTTCACAACGTGATAAGAATTAAGATTCTTAGAAGATAAGAATTTCTTACATGGGGTTGAAACTTTATGGTTACGTTTTTTTGTTGTTTTACATTCTCATATCAAACAATGTATCCTATGCTTCCTAAATAGTGGTATGAAACCAACACTATTTATGATTTACGTTTAAAAGTTCGGTGAACCCGACGAAACGATTGGTAAGAATGTTTGATATAATTATTTATTCTACACTGAATTGTGATATAAATTTTATAGCATTAATTACAAAATCGTTTAAAGTTGGAAATGGAAAAATACAGCCGATTATTTTTATATACACTGTCAGAAATTTTAGATCGCTTTGAGCCCTAATATTGTTAAATTTGCTCAATTTTAATACAGTGCCACTAGTGAATCATATTATCTTGAAAGTTTGTTCTTCTTGACCTTGCTCATACGATATTATGGTACAATTTGATTCGAAATATGTTTCATTTATGTGGATCACTACATGTTTTGATTATTTCATATTCACATAACAGAAAATGCATCTTATTTTACTTGTTAAGTAATAAATTGAAACCAACATTACTAACTATTTACACTTAAAAGTTTGATTATCTTAGCGAATCGATTGGTAAAGATGCGATGCTTATACTACATATGTAAAATTATTTATTCTATTCTAAAAGCTGAAATAGTTTTAATACTGATAATCACAAAATATTGAGAAATCGTAAAACAGAACTATTTTCCTACTATACAGTGTTAAAAATTTTGAAGCGCGTTGAAGTATTTATATCGTTTAAATTTGCAGCAATTTTAATGCAGTGCAAGAAGTGATCCTAAAAATAAATCCACTCAGATCTTGATTATACTATATTAAAGTGCAATTTGAATAAAAACATGTTCTTTATCGGCGGTTGAAAATGACATGTTTTTGTTACTTCATATTTACATATCTGACTAACGTACACTTTACGTGTTAAACTTTATTAACCTTATATTTTACAAGTTAAATAATGGAATGAAAACAAGACACTTATTATTTATATATATTCCTTCTATATACATACATATTCTCATATACCCTTCTATAACATACATATTCTCTTTCCGAATAGAAGCATAGAGCTTCCATCATATCCATCTGACCATATTTGTTTCCTGATCTTGTACCCTTCTCCATAGCTTTCCTATTGTTTTCAACTCACTTATAATCGTCCTGCGGCAAATATTTTTAGGTCTTTTTCTTTTTCCCTGAGGGTACCAATCAAAAACCTGTTTTACGTTAAATTTCTCAGCCTTACGTAAAACATGACCAATCTATTTCCATTTACGTATTTTAATTTCCAGTTCAATTAGTTTTTGTTTTGCTTTTCTAGGGATTTCTTCGTTACAAATTTTATGGACCACTTGATACTTAAAATTCTTCTTTAACTGTTGTAAATAAATACTTGAAGTTTTTTCATGTTATTTTAATTACAGTGTTATGTTTCAGATCCCTAGAGTTAGACAGATTTACATTAGTATTGAAAATTCTAGTTTTTGTTGAATTTGTTATGTTTTGTTTTTCCAGAATTTATTAAGAATAGTGTAATTGCATCAGACTTTGTATAATCTATTTAGTATATCTTCATCAGTTCCTCTTTTGCAGTTTATTATTCTTTCAAAATAAGTAAAAATGTTTACTTCCTCTAGTTTCTTATTTTCTTGGAGTATATTCAAGTATACAAAATAAAACTGGAGTATACAAAATAAAACTAAAATCTTAAAAATTAATCCTAAACAATTAAATGACATATACGTCATTTAATTGTTTAGGATTAATTTTTAAAATTTTAGTTTTATTTTGGTTGATAATAAGCCCATTTTCTTTGCCTCTATGTTTAAAAAGTTTGTGTTTTGTTTGCATGTCTTGAAAAGTGATGGTTAGTAAACGTAAGTTGTCTTCAAAATCAAAGTCAGAAAGATATCCAGTAAGGTTTTATCTTGTACCCCTTTTATTCTCTGATACTTTCTTTAATAGAAGATTATTTGAGAAAGTTTACAATCCTGTCTAACACCCGATTCAACATTTAAGGATTCTGATTGTTGGCAGGGATAGATAACTCGTATATTGTAATTTTTATGTGTGTATATTTCTGACAATGTTTACCAAACATTCAGGAATTCCATAGAACTCTAACGGCTTCCAGAGTTTTCCTTCTATAATACTGTTAGATATTTTGGAGAACGTCGAATTATCATATCGTTCAAAATTGCAACAATGCTTTATTTAACCATAATTATAATATGCTTTATTTAATCCTGAATAACTTTAGTTCTAATAATTGGATTCTTAACCGATCCTAGTCGTTCAAAGAGTTGACTTTAAATATTTTATGTCAACTATATTATGGATATGTGTTACGGAATCAAACACGAAACTGTACTTTCCCTAAAGAAGACCCCAATAGTCTTAGAACGTGAAGATCCGATCATTAAATTAAAAGTTATTCAAGGTAGTCCGTTTTTTTTTTTCCTTCTTTTTTTCTTTCCTTTTGGCGCAGTGTACATTTTTTAACTGTTATTTTTAAACTCACCCAAAACTTTCTTGCTCTGTTTTAAACTAAATCCAATCTTTCATTATGTTTCTCTTAGGTGTAACCATAAACAAGGATGTCATATATTTAAATCTATTTCCTTTTTAAATTTGAAAATATATTATCAACAGTTTTTTTGGTATAATTCGGGAGAATTTATTAGTCCATATAGCAATCTTAAAAATTTATTCCTGTCGTAATGAGTTATTATAGTAACACAATTTAGAACTTACTGGTGATAGACTTCGTAGAAATGCAGAAAATGGTTTGAAAACGGTAAAACGTTCTGCTCCTTGTGAGAAAATATAGCTTGTGTTGGCAAAAGATTACGTTTGATTATGTTATGTGGTCTCGGATCCACAAAAGCCCTAACTTCTTTAACTTGCTAGCGTACGTAATAACAATAAAATGAACCTAATCTGTAAACTAAACATTTTCGAAAGTTCCTGTATTTATCATTTTATCAAGATCAATTTTAACGTTTAAAGAAACCGGTATCGATCTAGAAGGGAATATCTTATGACTGGTATATTTTTTTCTTTCTTTCTTTTTTTAAATTTTATATCATAAACATAGGGCGATTTACCAAGATCTCCTGAAAATATATCTTTGTATTCATTGCTTAGAAATATCCTAATTATTTTGTTTGAGTTTTTATTATCAACGATATTTAATTTTTCACATGCATGTTAAGCCTATATAATGGTGCATTTGAATCTAGATCTATACAATATAGAATTTCAGAGAAAATTATTTATTTTCAAAATAAACATTGAATCTGCATGTACTTAAAATTTTTTAATTACAACCAGTATACGATTTTAGACATTTATCTGTCTTCTTTAATCTACTTTTAAAATTCATTTTTGTATTGGTATTTCTTAATAAGTATTTGTTTCGGGAAATTATTTTAATTATTAATTCTTTTTTCATTTCAGACGATAATGGAACCAGTGAGCTTTAAATGGTTAAAGATATTTTTAATAGTTTCGTTATTGAATATCACTAAGCAAACTGACATAGCTTGTGAAATCGTCCAAGAAAATCAAAACGGAAATGAAAAAGCTTTAAATAATTACATCAGATGCAAAGGAATTTTTCACGAACCTGAAGCTCTTCGTAGTGTTGTAGCTAACATTACAAATCCTATAGAAATTTTTGAGTTATACAACTCATCTTTGGATTTATTACCTGAAGATATATTTCGCGATGCAAAATATTCTATTGTGAAAAAAATTTTATTTTCAGAAACAAACCTTAGCTTATTCTCTTTACCTGAAAATAATATTTCTCCATTTTATTCCATTGAAAATACATTAGAAAGTTTTGAAGTTTATGACAGCTCATTTCCCTTCGCATGGAATTTTTCTGTTCTCGCAAGATTGAATCATTTACATTCCATTATTATAGAGAACTCTGATGTTTTTACAATTGAAGATATGTTTTACTCTTTAACCAATATTCGATTCATACAAATGATAAATTGTAATATAAGGTTAATTCATCATAAGGCTTTTCAAAAAAATATAAATTTGAGTATTTTTTCTTTGTCTAATAATTTAATCAGAACAGTTGAACGTTCAATGTTTCCACAACCAGCCATATTTCTTTGGAGTTTAGATTTAAGGTAATGTAAAAGACATTTTTATTTATCTATTTATTATATTATGTATTAATCATAAAAAGAATGTTACAATTCAAATCCCAGTATTACTCACTATAGTTTTTAAAAAAATGAAATTTCAGATTCTTTGCTACGTAAAAATGTTTGAAAAAATTAATACAGTACAAGGTCTATATAACGCAGTTCTATCATAATGTATTAATCATAATGTATTATGATTGATTATGATTATTCTATTTATGATTATTCTATTTATGATTATTCTATTTATGATTATTCTATGTATTATGATTATTCTATCATAATGTATTATTCTGTATTAATCATAAAAAGAATTTTACAATTCAAATCCCAGTATTACTCACTATAGTTTTTAAAAAAATGAAATTTCAGATTCTTTGCTACGTAAAAATGTTAGAAAAAATTTATACAGTACAAGGTCTATATAACGCAGTTCTATCATAATGTATTAATCATAATGTATTATGATTGATTATGATTATTCTATTTATGATTATTCTATTTATGATTATTCTATGTATTATGATTATTCTATGTATTATGATTATTCTATCATAATGTATTATTCTGTATTAATCATAAAAAGAATGTTACAATTCAAATCCCAGTATTACTCACTATAGTTTAAAAAAAAGGAAATTTCAGATTGTTTGTTACATAAAAATGCTTGAGAAAATTAATACAGTACAAGGTCTATATAACGCAGTTCTAAAAACCGCAATTCTCCATAAACGACACTAGCTTTATGGAATAATAAAATTGGCAATTGAGAAATTTCTACAGCTAAGCAATAACTATTAACTTTTCACATTATTTGTTTAATCATCTGCCAAGAGAGTGAAATTTCAAAAGCTAAGCAAGTCAAAATTGATTTTTACAGTTGAAGATATGTTTTACTCTTTAACCAATAATCGGCTCATGCAAATGATAAATTGCAATATAAGGTTCATTAATGGTGAGGCCTTTCAGAAAAATTTAAATTTGAGTATTTTTTCTTCGTCTAATAATTTAATCAAAACTGTTGAACATTTAATGCTTCCACAACCTGCCTTATATCTTTGGAGTTTAGATTTAAAGTATTGTATATATAAAATATATATATTCACAATATTACGTAGTAATCATAAAAAGAATGTTGCAATTCAAATTCCAGTATTATTATCTCTAGTTAAAAAGAAATGAAATTTCAGATTTCTGCTACTTAAAAATGCTTGAAAAAATTAATCGATAAATTTAGCAAAAAAGGACAAACTATTTTTTATAAATGTATAACTAGTTGTGTTAATCAATTATTTTTAATAATTATATATAATTATTAATAATTATTTTTAGTTTTACTGGTAAACAAAGACATTCCTTCCCTTTATTTATTTTACATACACTCAGAGAGCGATAAAAAATTTTAAACTCTATTTAAAAAAAAGTTAAAATGAAACTTATAAGCAGTTTCTAATGAAAGCCAAAGAATTGATTTTGTTGTGGAAAGTATATGCGCACTGTGCATCATCTAGTACGTGTTTCTTGCTTATTGTACTTCATATGTTTTGAATTATATGAATTCTCAAACGTTGTTTGAACTTGCAAAAGTTTCAGACTGACTTGCACTGTGTAGATTGACACGCCTAGCAGGGCATTTAGTAATTTTTAAACTTTTAGATCCCTGCCATCCTGTAGATTAATGATATAAAATCTCATAAAAATAAAATTGACTTATGTTTTAAAAATATTTATACTTTATAAATGTTTCTATAATAGTTACAACAAAATTGACTATCTTCCAAAAGACATGTTTGAAGATATGCCTTATCTGAAAGAGTTGAAGCTAGATTATAATCGACTGGTGACAATTAAAGGTGGTGTTTATAAAATAGTATGGAATCAATTAACACAGTTATGGTTGGACGGTAAGTGAAAAAAATATGTTTGAATTAATTCATAATTAAAATGAGTAATCCTAGAAAACAGAAAGGGAAAGATCTAGTTGACAATTGAGAAACTTCTTTAGATTCAAAAATTAAGGCCGAAAAAGTTTCAGATGCTCAATATATGGTGCTCACTCTCCAGATCTATTACACGTGAATGAGGAAAACTAAATGAATTTGAAATAAAAAGAAAACGTAGTTTTTAAAAAAGAAAAAAAAATAGAAATTAAAATAATCAATTTCTTCACTTTCATTTGCGCTTCATCTGCATTTTTTATTTTTTTATTTAGTCTACATAGAACGAAGTATATTTGATCCTTTGTGAAAACAAACATTACTTTATGTCTTCAATGAAGTGTGTGATAATGAATTATATAAATCAATCAGTGACAATGAATTAATGAATGATAAGTGTTTTTTTCCTTTTCATTTAAAATTTCTCTTTGAAAGTATAATATTTAATCAAGAATAAACATATTAACTTTGATATTTTGTTCAGTCATCAGTAATAGATTTCAAAATAGACAAGTTAAGCTAATCAGGGGTATAACTTTTATAAGCTTCTTCACACCACTCCTTATTTTAAATATTTCAACTATCCTCATGGAAGTTATATTTGTTTTTTAGACAAATCCATTAGTCAAAACATTATAAATAAGTAATGAACTATTAAAAAAATATTACACATTTTTTTTCGGTGATTTATCCATATAATTTGGGATTAAAACACCGTGTTTTTCATTAAAATATAAAACTTATTTACTTTTGCTAGCAGGACAGAGGGGGCTAGTCAGGGCCGGATTAAGCGTACGCGGGGCCCTGGTCCCTTCAAATTTTTGGGGCCCTTAGATTAAATTTTTTTCTCGTATATTTTTTATTTATTCAAATATAAAAGTATTTATATATCTTTTCATTTAAGAAAGCATATTTAAAATAAAAATAAATAATAATAAATTAAATTTTACTTTATTTTATTAAATTAGAACTAAAAAATAATCATAACATTTTGAAAAATCATTGTTTTTCTTCCTTTTTTGAAATTTATTTTCAAAAAATGCATTTTAAGGGGGTCCCTAATCGTTAGGGGGGGGGAGGCCAGGCCATGGCCCTACGTTTTGTGATAAAAAGCGTGGCTCTACGGGATTTAAAGGAGGACATTCAAAGCCCTCTGGTAAGGCTTGAACCTTATATGTTTTAAAATATCACTTTAAAGACCTTATTATATTTTTAGGAAAAAAAGTTCCACTTAGTAAATAAAAAACTTTAAAATAACAAACTTCGCTGATTCTACAAAATGCATGCCCAAAGAGAGAGAGCCTTTTGCCCCCCCCCCGAGTCCTAATATCTGTGAGTCAGTCTCTGACACAACAACTTAAATAATGTTACAAACAGCATTCCATAGCTTAATAGCGCTAAATGAAATAAGAATTTTATTTTTAAATTTAACATTGATTTTCCGAACAACTATTTATAGAATTAATGTTTTATAACTGTACAAATAAATTAATTTTCCATATACTTTAACATCTAGGAAATGATATGGTTTGTTGGGCATTGTGTCCTGTACTTTCTGAAAATAAGAGGGAGAAAAAAGATAGACCTCTATTTTTTGATTCATCAATATGTGAAAAACCACCCAAGAAGATGGTATTGCTGGAGTCTTTTGAATGTTAGCACAAGACTTAAGAACATTCCAACTTATTTTAATAGTTGTCAGAGGAAATAAATAGATCAATTATATACATATTTATGCTTGTGCCACCAAAAAATGCTACTGAAATAAAGGTTAGTATGATCAAATCAAGACTGTCTTGACCATAATTTAAGGAAGTTTGGATTTGTTAGCAGTGGCATAATTAACTACAATTGGAATTAACTGGGTAAAATTTCAGTTAACCGATTCCTCACCTTCATTACATAGTTTTGATTACCAGCACTGATTATCTACATCTAAAAGTTTATCTGGGATATTACACTCAAGACAATGTTTCCAAGAATTCGAACTCAAGTAGAATTAAAACAGAAATTAAACTTTTAAAATTGAACAGGAAACATTTATATCAGATGTCTAATTTAATTAAATTACTGAGTTAATTAGCAGAAAATTGGCATTCCAATTTGTGTTATGTAGATCTGAAAACATACCACAGTTATTTTATGAAATTTAACCAAGACTAGCTAACTATTGGAAACAAGGCAGATTCTTTAAATAGGATTTGCATGATGTTATTAGATGTATAAGAACGATGAAAGAATGTTAAGTCATTTCAACTAAACTAGCACTGGAAATTTTATTACCTTGTGCCTGTAAATATCAGAACTATTTGATAACTACAGACAAAGATCAGAATTAAAACCTAAATAACTAACATGGTTGGAATTCAATGGTAGGACCTCAGTGTTGGAAAATGAACTACTTTTTATATTTAGTATCATTATTATTTTATTTATTAATATTAATTAAATGTGAAAGCAGCAATAATGGAATTATGATAAAAGAGAAAACTTTGTAGTCAGCAACTCTTGTTTAACATTATAAAAAGTAGGCTTAGTAGAGATTAGTAGTAAGTGGGACATACTGGGTCTTTAAGTTTTCACTTTTTTTCCTAAGCAGAAGTAGTAGAAATAGATGAAATTAATTCGCTTTGTATCATATCTATTGTAAAGAACAATGCACAAAACTCTCTGTGTCAATGAACAAAGATAGGGATACAGAACCTACAAAACAGCAAACATGAAATTAAGATAAACTAAAAAAGTGAAGCATTTGGATTTTGCAGTTAGCAACTCTTCTCTAATATTGTAAGATGTAGGCTTAACAGAGACTTACAAATTAGTATTATTTTCTAAGGGGAAAGTTAGGTATAAAATTTCCACTATTTTTTTCCTGAGCAAACGAAGTAGTAAAACTAGATGAAATTAATTATTTTGTATTATGTCTATTATAAAAGAGACCTCCTCGATTAACAAGGATAGAAGTTCAGAGTCTAAAATAGATACTGATACTAACAAGGCATTTGTTAAATAATATAAATTAGTAACAATATCATGTTTACATATTAATGTGGCTTCCGATGTAAATTATTTCAATCTCTTGTGAATTAAACAATTTTTGTATCATTAAATTCAATAAATATGCATTTTTGTTCAAAAGCAAAAGTTTTGTTGGTATTAATTTGCATTTCTGTTCATTTAAAGCAAAACAGGGTTCCCACTATACTCCAAGAAAAAAATTCTCAGACTCCTCCTGGTATATCAGGAAAATTTCAATGAAAATCCAAATCGTATTTTATCTAAAGCATGTAATTTTTCATGAGACAACTCTAGACTCATAGACTAACTCATAAAACAATTTTTTATTTGTAATGTCAAATATTAGATCTTGTGAGCAAAGAAATATCATTGAATGAGGATAGAAGCAGGGAAGTTTCACTAAAATGTGAAAAGTTTACAACAAATAATTGTAAGAGATCAATTCTGAGATTGGTTATTTTCCAGGTATAATGTAGGAGTTTTCCAGCTTTTTTTAAAAAATTGCAATTTTCCCTGTTCTCCTAGACCTGTGGGAGCCCTGATTTTATAATGGTCACATTGAATATGCTAATATACATTTCAATGTGAACTATACCGAGTGTTTCAATGTTTTTCTCAGTATCAGTCAGTTGTATATTCTCAAAGTCCTTCCCATAATTTTTAAGCACTTAATAAAATCATTTAAAAGCAAAAGAAAGATCTAGAAATAATGCTTACTTAAAATATCTGAAGCTAGCTGATTTTTAAAAACAAATAATATGATTTATAACTAATCTAATAGTTGAACTATTCATTTGAAATTTCTCTAGATTGTATTACAATCATATTCTTGAATAAACTAGGGTCACATTTTTAAAATTATAATTTTCAAAAATAAAGCATATTTTTTAGAAAAAATGCACAATATTTTCTTAATAGCCTCATTAGCCATTTTTTTGTTTGCACAATAACTAGTTAAAAATTTTTGTCTCCTTTATTTATTATAAGCATTTTTAATTGTTCCTAACGTTTTTATGAAACATTCAATATTCCTATGATGGCCTTTTAGAGAAAAGCACACACACATAATCAGATCTAAAAAGCAAAATAATCAAATCATAGGTGGTCAACCTTTCACATAACAAGTACCAGTATTTTGACAGTCAAAGAAATTAGTAAAATTTTATTAAAGAAACATTGAATTGTTTTACAAAACTATTTTTTGATTCTTTTACCATTAGATCCCTAGTACAAATATAAGTTTTTAAAAATCAGAAACATTAAACACAAAATAAAGAACAAAAACTCAGGGAATAATGTGATTTGCTAGTTTTATTTGGTTTTAAGCAGTACAAACTATAAGAAAGAAATTACTTAAACAGTTTGATATACATATTATGGCAAGTGTCATATATTGTTACCCTCAAAGCAGAAAACAACACTTTCAAACATAACTGATTTCATTTCTATATTACTAAAATCTATTTATATATATAAATATATGCAAGAAAAATATAAATACTTCACAGAAATACTGATATACATAAATCCATGTGATCCTTTTAGAAACTGATTTGTGCTGCTGTTTAAAAGAACAGAGCTTGCATCATTACATTGGAATGATAGCACCCAGTGGAAATGGCAGTCAATTATCAGTCGCAGTTACAGACTAGCATGCATTAGCATAAGAATTGAATAACCAACAAAATTCTTCACATAAATAATATCAAGCGAAATAAATAATTTAAATATTCAGTTTATTTTAAAGTAAAGAATAAATAATTGAAGTTATTAATTACCATCTAGCAATTATAATAATACTGATTTTAAACAAAATACAAGTTGAAATTTGAAAGACTGCTTTTTTTCATAACATCTAAGAAAGGCAATCACTTTAATACAACTTTAAATACATATTTAAATATTCTTTGTGTGTTAAAATATCTCAAATAGACAGTACAATTTGCTAGGAACATCAGTAAAAAAATCACAATTAGTGTTTATAATAATCTTATAAACATAACAATATAAAATATATACAAAATGCAAAAAAGTTGAAACATTGAGGGAAAAGTAAAGACAAGGTTGAGTATTTCCACAGTCGCTCCCCAGACATTTAATTCATTATAAAGAAGCTCATTAAAAATTTCAGTCAAAGTTATATTATTAAAGCTAAAATATATATAAAATATATTTTCAATTATACCACAACTATAGCCTCTCTATATTGAGTAAAAATATAAAATGGAAAAAAAAGAAAAAGTTTGAAAGAAAGAAAAAAAAAACAGATATATTCTACACTTAGGAAAACAAAAAGATGCTGAAATGGAACATGTTAAGAAATTCCCTTTAAAAATAAATAAAATAAGAAATTAAATTAATGAATAAGTTTGATACTTAAATTGATGCCAAATTTCACATATCTTTCTGTCCGCATTAAAAGTAAAGAGGAGTTCAATTGAATTCTAAAATGGGAAGTGTCTACTTGGGTTGTAGTATGAAAAGCTTATTTTTTTTTACAATATAAATTTTTTTCTTTTGAAAAAAAAAATTTTTTTTTGGTAATGTTTTAGGCCTAAGATAGTCTACTATTTAAGCTTAATTTTAATGAATTTGAATAGAATTTATGAATAAGCTCAATCTTGAAAACTATAAATCTTCGGTTATTATAAGCAGATTTTCTCAAGATTTTCAAAACATTTGTAAGGGTATTTAAAATTTGAATTCGACATAACTTCCTTCATAAACACTTTTTCTATATTTGTCTGGAAAAAAACATATCCATTTCAGACATAAAAATTGTCTCTCAGTCTTGTTTTGAGGGATTGACAATTAACTAGTTTTATCATCAATAAATGTATATACTTATAAAAAATATTTAATATTAATCTTTTTATACGAAGTGATTTTCTCAAAATATATCATTATTTCAACCTCTTTAATATATCTTGTATATTTAAAAGAAAATTTGTAAAAAACAAAAATATATTACTTGATTATACAATACTTTCAAACGTATAACATTAGTTTCCCAGCATTGAAAAATATAAAACATAAAAAAACATTTCCAAATCACACATTAAAATTAATACTTTCAAGCAAGTTAACTGTAATTTAATCAACAGAAATCAAAGAAACCTGATTGTCACAATAACAATTTATACATAGGTGTTTTTTTTGTACAAACATGTATCACATATAAAAATCATTTTCTCAAAATATATTCTATATTACAGTACGGCTACAAATTTTAGAGTTTAATTCAAAAATAATTTGTAAAAAAACTTTTTTGTGAATTCAACTCTAAAAATACAAAATTTTTTATTTAATTACAAAGACAATAATGGCCAATAATAAAAGAACTGTAAATTTTAAAAGTAAAACAGTTCATAAACAATAACTGATGTGTGATTATTTCCTATTATATAGTATAATTGTTAAAGGCAGCAATATGGGCACAGTTGAAACTTGTATTTAACTACATTAATGATTATTTATTCAAATATATAAAACTTAACAACTAGTTAAAACATTTATGCTTAAAAGTCTAATTTCTAGCAATATCTTCAATTTATACAAAAAATATATTATATGTACATTTTACATATTTGTTATATTATTGATATAGAGGTATACTTTTTACATTATTTGAATAGACCATATTATTTACATAGATAACTATCTTTTTAAATGTGTGTTTTATTGAATACATATAAGGCCCATAGAAAAACTAAAATTTCATTGAACAATAAAATTTTGTAAACACAAAATTTTGTTTTTACCCTTAGTCCATAGCTAATAACTGGTTAAAAATCAAATATTTTATCAAATTCTAAAAGAAGAAATTCTACAATTCTATTTTGATGCATCATATCCAAAGCAATATTTGATGAAACATATTCTGGCCACATTAAAGTTGGTCCAAACACAATGGCTAAATTTTGCACCTGCATACGATTCTGTTTGTGGTATTCTGTAACCCTGAAATTAGAAGAATTCGAATAAGTTATTTAATTAATGGCATTTGAAATCACTTGAAATAAAACTACAATAATATATCTAACAATTAAACTACTAGCTATCAACCAATTGGTGATCATTGTCCCAGATGTAACAGTTCTCCCCTATTTTGAGGGTGAAATTTTTTAGTATACTTTACACCTGCAGAAATCAAGACAAAAATATCTCAATTTCAATTGTTATGAAGGCAAACTTAAACCCCCAAATTTTGTTTCTTTTCCTAATAATTTTATCCCTCCCATAGTGACAAGTGACAAACTCTTTCCAAATCAATCACATCATCAGAAAGTCATTTCTATTTATAGATCAGTATCACAATTCAGTACCACTTGAACTTGGGGATCTAGTAATTACCTTTTCCATAAGAGTCCAGGTCTAAAAAATCAGGATTTATTCCATGGAAAATATTGTTTCGTTACTCGATGTCAAATAGATAAATATAACAGGCGAGAAAAATGTTTTGTTCGTAATAATTAATTGTAATACTAATGTATTATATGAAGTTATAACGAAGATTGGGATAATAAATCAAGGGTAACAAAAACTGAGCAACTAAAGTGGATTAAAAAAAATCTGTAATATATTTTTTTTATTTCTCTTTTATCTTCTGTTCACTGATATGCACGTGGAATGCATTTCCCCCACCACCTCGTAAATAAAAGAGAAAACGAAATCAGCATTCCACTCCTGTTTCATTGATGGCAGCTAAGCAGGAAAAAAAAAATTTCCAGACACACAGAAGAAAATAAAACATTTGTCCTTTCCCTACTCCCTCTCAATCTAAAGATCTTTAAGGTCACGTAAGAAATAATGAAGTTTTCTCTTGACAAATGGGAAGAAAATACCCCCGCAACCACATTTTTCCTCTACTCATTTTCAAGGTTGAGACAAATTTCTCTTTTTTCTTCAATCGTTCTAGTTCAAAATGGTGGGAAAGCCGAGCAAAATTTCCCCCAGTTTTCTGGATACCGGCCAACATATGTAACATTACTTCCTTTATGTAATTATTATGCATTTAATATATGTAATATTATTTCACAATATAGCTTAATCAAATCAGTATAATTAATAATAATCTTGATGTTTTGGTCAAGCATACATTTATTAATAACTATTTTTACTTTAACACAATATTATACTGAATAACTTTTTTAAATAGTAACTATTAATTCTTGATAAAAAAAAATTACCTACTATGTTTCACATTTACATTTTTTTACCCTTCTTGAATTTTTGTTGAGAAAGCTCATGAATTCAGTATTGCCGAGTTGGCATGTCTGCTATTCACTCTACTTTACAATATTTCAAAACCATAGAAAATATGCAATAATTTTTTAAAACAGAATAAAACAAATGGAATTTTAGGGTTCATTTTAATAAAAATTTCACAAAACCACACAATAATTTAATAAGTATATTTGAACAAATTACTTAACACTATGTTTTTATAAAATTTGTAAGTATATATTTTTTTATTTTTATTAATTATACTAGCCGCCTGAGGCGGCCAGCTGTCCGCCACGCTAAAGATTTTCACAAATAAAGTTTTTTAAAACATAGCAGGAAATCTGAAGATTAGTGGACAATTAAAGTGTTCCTGTCCTGCAATTTTGTCTTAAATTCCTATTTTATATATTATATAGCTACAATGCTTAAGAAAAAAAAACTAAAATGCTAAATACATGAAAAGAACACGAAAACGAATTAATTTTTTATGGTATCAATTTCTATTTCTATATAATTTTTTATTGTATCAATTTCTATATCTATATCGCTACAAAAATTATCGTCTTCGCTTAAGAAAAAAAAAATAGAGCGTGTAAAGAAGAAGAAAAACTTATTATAACAATTATGAACAGCGACAAATATATCAAAGCGAAGCGTTCTATTTACGTATCGAATATGTTGCCACATCTTTAATACAAAAGTTAAACTTTTCTCCACTTTGATAAATGTAAACTAATGCGAACCTTACAATTAAATTATTAATTCCTTCGTATATTATTGGTTTAAGTTGTCGAAAATTAATATTTCAATTGTAAGGTTCGCATTAGCATACATTTATAAGAGTGGAGAAAAGTATATGCATTTTTTAATAGTTTTTTGAATATGGCTCTTTGAAGACGAAAAAGCATAGATTTTCTTACAAAATGACTGATAACTAAAAAACTAATCCAAATTTTTGAAAAAGAAAAAAAATACTTCTTCATTATGTCAAAACACAATTATGTGCCGAGTTTCGTGCCTGGGCGAGGCTTCTGGGGCGATATATTGTGATTACAGACACACACACACAGCCGCTTTTATTATTATGTATAGATTAGTTAGAACTTATCAGCATCCAAATAAAACATTTTTAATGGCTCAAATTACTAAAAAAAGAGCATTTAAAAAGAAACATGATTCTTAAAATATTAATTATACAGGTTTAAATTTTTGAGAAATACATACCATTCCATACATAAACATTTCTGCTCATTTGACAAAGTAAAAAAATTTTTTTCAAGAAATCCTAGCAGTAAATGTAATTGTCTAAAAACGATATTTTGTTCATAATAAAAAAAACTATAATAAAATGCAAAACAAAAATTTTATTTAAAATTTAAACCTCATAATGAACTACTCTACCATTAATATTAATTGACTGTTTCAAACTCTTCCATTTTTATTGAAAATAAGATTGAATATCATAAAAACATTTAGAATTAAGCAACATATACCTCAATAAATGCTTTAATAGCATCTTCAAAGTTTCATAATTTGGTTCTGGCATTTTTTGAACAAGTTTACAAAGAGCATCCAATTTACTACTTGAATCAGGTAAAGCTGAAAAAATTTAAATTGCAAAAGTTAGCAAAACAAATCACTGATAAAATTTTTAAAACCAAATATCATAGATGCTAACAATAATTTAAATCTTTTGATACCTTGTATCTTTTGGCACCTTTGCAACTAAGTGCCATTCTTAATGGTTCAAAAGAATGAACTCTAATATGAAAATTAATATGTGCACATGATATTTTGAGCTATAAAAACAGACACAAAAACATACTATATCTGAATGGATTTTCTACTATTAAAATTTGGATGTCACCACAATATGGAAAATATACTAGTTTCAATAGTTTAGTCAGGAGAAGCATAAAATATTTGAGGCCCTTATTGTTAGTTTAACTTTTTACATATAGTGCCATATCTCGAGAAATTTATAAACAAATCCAAACAATTAAAAAATTTCTTTATCCAAAGATAATTCCTTCAAAACATATTTTCATTTGTAAGGTATACAAACTTTTAAGCCATATATACAAAAGCCATATTAAGCCTTAGATAGTTTAAAATTGCTATTTTAAACTTTAGAATTTTATAGGACATAATACACAATTTGGACAAAAGCGACCCAATAGTTTATAAGTAGTTTTCAGAATATCAAAATAGCCACATTTTCAAAGTTTCATTTTTCAAGAACTACTTGACCAATTTTGTTCAAATTTTGTAATTTAAAAAAAAAAAAATAGTGTAAGAAATAGTCAAAATAACAAATAATCATTAAAATAGAATTTTTACAAGGAATTATCATTGGATAAACAAATTTCTTAATTTTGTGCAACAATATTTTGATTCATTTATAAAATTCCCAAGTATTTATTAACTTTCCATGTGAAATTAATATTAAGAGCCCAAGTTTTGACTGCTATCCAAACCAATAGTCTATAATCAATATTAATAGTTCTGATCAACTATTGAGATCATATTTTCCAAATTGCAGCAGCTCTCCCCTCATTTTGATGGTCAAAAGTTCAAATCCATAAGAAAATTATATATATTCAGAGAAATTTAATTAAAACAAAAGTGTTTTAGAGTGATATCTATTATTTTGCACAATGAACTATAATTACTAATATTGCATGAATAGCTAATTAGTAGAAGTTAAACAGTAGAAATCTGCTTTTAATTATAAAAATTATCATATACTTTTTAATCAAAGCAAAGTATTAGGTTCATGTAACTGTGTAATCCTCCTGTGGCAAATATTAAATAAAATGAAAGAATCTAATAACATATATAGTAATTTTTAGATAATATCATTAATTTATTATTTTAAACACTGGTAATTTTAATATACCATATTTACAATCATACAATAATAAAAAATTGATATTGACATTGATTAGCAACCTGTGTAATTTTAGAAATTAAGAACTCTAGTCTCAGATAATAATTTTATAACATTATTTATATAGTGTGTACTTTATAAAATAAAATTAAGAGGTAAATTCAGACAATTCATTCAGAGGTTAATTCATCACAGCTTTTGCTTAGTGAATATAGATATTTTTTAATTTATGGACAATATAAAAAAATACTCACACTAAAAATCACATACAATACAAATAAAAGCCCAATTTTTGAACATTTGTTTTCAGAAATGTCTATTTTCTAAACACTTTATAACAATTATTAAAGAAATTATATTTCTATAAAAAAAAATTCATTTATTTCTTAATACTTATGATTTGTTGCAAAATCTTAAGTATAAGAAGAAAAAAAAGTTATTTCTTCTATGTAGGAAAGCTAAATCTTCCTATTGCTTTAATGAGCAGACTTGAAGAGTTGTTTAAATAACAAGAGCAGTTATAAAGAAAAAATAAATAAACTTAAGAGAGAAGAATAAATACTAAATATTAATGAAACTGAATATTAATAATGTTTGAAAGAAACTTTCACAGTAAAGTTTCATTTATGGTCTTTTCATTGATGTTTGTTTTTTCAAATTGTTAAAGAATAACTTTAAATATTATTTCAACATTTTATTTTTCCATATTAATTATTTCATTAATTTGTATAATATTATTTTCTTTTATATATTTTTTTATATAATTATAAAATTAATAAAAATGAATGAGACACTCTAAGATAAATTTTTTGGGTGACTGGACATTATATATTAGATGACCTATTTTGGTCAAACCTGTTTCAGGGTTGAGAACCACTGTTCTACATAACACAGTGTTATTTTTACATTCTAATGGATGCAAATATAACACTGTGTATGTAATGGTGCTTTTTCAAACTGTTTAAGAATGACTTTAAATATTATTTGAACATTTTGATTTTCCATATTAATTATTTCATTAATTTGTATAATATTATTCTGTTATTTTATATTTTTTTAATATAACTCTTTCATATAATTATAAAATTAACAAAAATGAATGAGACACTCTAAGATAGATTTTTTTTGGAGACTGAATATTATATATCAGATGACATATTTTGGTCAAACCTGTTATCAGGGTTAAGAACCACTGTTCTACATCATACACAGTTTTATTTTCACATTCTAATGAATGTAAAAATGACAGTCCAATGAAGCAGTCTACTGCAATATAGCCTTTTTATAAAACTATTCGTAAAAAAATTATAATAATTTAAAAAAAAGTTATTTCAAGACCATTTATCAAATAAAATTATTTATAAAAAATTACATAAAAACAGAAATGTCCTGAAATTTTTTTAATTAAAAACTAATTTAAACATACCAATGGCATTCAAAAACTTGTCAAACATGCAAAATGGAAAAAGTGGTTCCTTCATCTCTCTAAAGAACATTTTCAAAGCTCCCGTTAAAACATGAACATCATCTTCCTCATGGAGACAAGAATAATCATCTACATTTAAAATTAACAAAATTTTAGAAAAAAAAAACATAACCATCTACTTCAAAATATATGCAAAAATGAATAAACCTATCAAGGCAACAAGAGTAATACTGTGTTTAACCATTTAAGCATGTTCAGTTGTAACAAAAACTACTTTCTCTCCATGTAAAACAAGAAGATAAAGTGAAGCAAAGGAAAATTCTATTTAATTTTAATGAAAATTATAATATTAAGAGAGTTATATGTAATTTTTATGCACTATGAACACCTTAGAAAAAGACATTTTCTTAAATTCAAACTTAGAAAGCTCTAAAGGGCTAAATCAATTATTTTAGTTTCCTTTCTTTTTTTAACTAATGTATCAAACAGTAGAATTTATAAGAGTCATAGTAGTAAAAATAATTTTAAAAAAATATTTTAAAATAGATATTAATTATTTTATGTATAAATATAGGAAACCATAATATTACACATTAAAACGTTATACAAGTTCTAAAATATTTAGAAATTTACAAACTAAATTCTCTCTTTACATATTTTCTGAAAAATGATTAATTTTCCTGACTTTTTCAGGCATTCTAGATTGTCAGACATCCTGTTCTTATTGTGAAGAGTATTTAAGCAGATTTCACATCTTGAGCTCAAACAGTTAAAGATACGATCTTTAACTATAATTTTAATGCAAATCACAGGGAAGAAAAGCATATGAGATATGATTTTTTGCTATTGAACGTTAAACTTAAAAATTTCCTGAACATAAGACATACATTTTTTATATTTCACATAAACACTGTGTGAGCATTTGAGGTAAGCACAAGAAACAACTCAAATTAATATTTAAAAGTAAAATAAAAAATTGGGAGTATTTTTAGTGCTTAAAAAAGTTTTAGAGGAAGTTTGATTTTGACATGTGAAATATTCATCAAAACACATAATGACAGTAAATATAAAACAACAAAAATAAGCTTAAATGCATCTATTTGAATAGAAGTTAAAAATCAGAACTTATAAAATTTTCAGAAAAATTTCAGCAAGTTTAGTAACTAACAAATAAAGGTTTTGTCTCAAAATTCCAATAAGGTAGAAAATTTTGAAATTTCATAGGCATAACATTTTCAATAAGAGTTAATGTAAGATCAGCCTTAAACATCAAATACACATATTCACTATTTTTAAAATTATAAATGGGAGTCAATTTACAAATCACATTGATTTTTTATACCAGACTACTTGGTTAATACTTTTGATTAATTTACCTTGATTAACATGGATTCTTATTTTCTGTACTTGAGAGAGGTTACCACTTGCTCTGTACAGCCCATCAGCTGTTAATTCTAAGAAATTAAAGGAAAAATGTTATGACTTTACAGTAAAAATTCAATTGGCTAGAATCAAGAGGACCAAATTCAACACAGATAAATAAGTGAATTGCAATAAATAGGCATTTCAAAAGGGAATAACACCAAAAACCTTCTTTTTAAGTTTTGATATAAATAATGATAGCAACACTGTTGGCATTTTTATTCCATCATGAAATGAACTGCAGTAGCAACTATCTAGAAAGAAGGTATCTAACCTGAAGCTATTAATCATGCATTTGCAACGCAAATATCACCATGTCACTTATCTAAAACAGTAACTCACTAGGATTTTATAGAATGGCCACAACAGTTAAAAGCTGAATACAATAATTTTTAAGATGGAGATAAGAGAAGGGGTAGTAGGTAAAATGATGATGCAACAAATCAAAAAATAAAGATAAAAGAGATTCTTAAATAGTTGAATATTGGGAAGTACTGGAAAAGTCTCCAATTAAATTGTTAAAATTTTTTATACAGCACAAAGTACCATATCTAGATGTCAATTTACCAGGAGGTTCCATTTTATGGACACTTTTTAGCAATCACAATAAACAAAACTTAGGAAAAAAAATTGTTTTCTTTTTCTTCATGCTTGCTATAAGCTAAAAAAAATTACGCAAGAATGAGAATCCTCTTCTTTTCCATCTTTTTATGATTTTGAATAAACTTTTGATTTTTATTTGACTTTTACCGAATTTTCGCTATAATGTGTTAAAAATATTTGGTTATAGCAGAAACGAAAACTGGAGTTCTGTGATTATGTTATTTTTTTCTCTCTTGTCTCATGTTAAAAGATTACTATCACCAAGAATTATTCCCTCAGTTTCAGAATGCGCATGTGCTTTGAAAAATTTGTGAATTTGAGATGAAATAGTCATGACTATACAGTGATTATATAAAACCATGATTCAAAACTTGCGGATCATAATATTATATCATAAAAGAAATCAAATTTTTAAAACTAAGTGGAAATCCCAAACTGTTGAAAATGCAACCAAAAAAAAATGCAGAAAATAAAATAATCAAAAAACGAGTGCATTAAAAAGGATTCTTGAAATAAGTGATTCAAAATTTTCCATATGAAATAATGTAGGAATAAAAAATTTCAATATTGTGAATATTCATAGCAACAAGGAAAATGCAACTGATGTAACTGATCGAAACTGCAATGATTGATGATGGAACCATGTAGTGTGATGGGAGAATTGTGTGTAAAAAAGTGATTTTTCAAATGAGTGTTTGAAATCACCCGTATTCAACACTTGTAGTGTAAATAAAGTAGCATTAAAAAACATTTAAAATCATGAATATGCATGGCAATAACTGATGAAAATGTGATTGTAAATCCATGGGGATTACAGGCGAATCCTCAATAACTGAATGAGTGAAAGAGGTGATTCTTTAAATGCTGCAATTCCAAATTTGCCCAACGAAATAATATCGTATCAAAATAATTTCGAAAATGCATGGCAATAACTGATAAAAATGTGATTGTAAATCTATGGGGGATTACAGGTGAATCCTCAATAACTGAATGAGTGAAAGAAGTAATTCTTTAAATGCTGCAATTCGAAATTCGCCTAACAAAATAATATTGTATTAAATCATTAAAATTTTAAAAACCGTGTGAAAATATGTTACAATAATTACTGAAAAAATTATTGACAGAACCATGCGAATTAACTGTGAAATTGTCGCTAATCAAGTGGGTTGATAAATGATTGACTCCATATGCATTTTAGAATTTGCAGTGAGTTATAATGGCTTATTTAATTATCAAGTTTTAAAACACAATATTTAAATCTGTAACAATAGCTGCAAAAATAGCATCTGGCAAAAATCATGTGAATCTATAATGGAATCTTCCCTAATCATCTCTGTCAAAATAAAAAATGAACTCAATTGTGTGATTCAAAATTTGCAATACACTAAAGTCATAATAAATCATTGAGATTTAAAAAACTGCATAGAAATATACAATAATAACTGCTGAAAATGCTATTGTCAATTGTAGAGATCAATAGAGAATGTAGAATTTATAAAAATATTAATGAAAATTGCCTTTGCTTATTACAATGCATTATGCAAAATATTGCTAGAACATTTGAGTAAATATTCGCAAATTGAAATATAACAATAAAATGTTAATTTTGCCAGTAAGAGTTAAAAAAAATCTTGTTTTTAATTTCTTCTTGCTGCTTTTTTAATAGATAAACACTTATGCAGTCTCAATAACTACAAATGAATTGTTGAAAAGATGATAGCAGTTAAAGAAAAACAAACTTTGGGAAGAAGAATAAACTATGGATATTATTTATTAAGCTGAATATTAATAGTGTTTGAAAAGAACAGCAGCACACAAGATTTGTTTACTTTAAATTACAGATGTTTTTATTAAGAAATTAACTCAATTCTGCTCTTTATATTATTATTTTTTTTAGTTTCATAAAATTTACATTTGGAAAATTTTGAGGCTCCCTTTTTAATGTTATTTTTATCTGTTTTTTCTGCACTGCCAATTGTTCACATCCTAAATTAAGAAAAGAAAAGCGTATCTTTATCATAACAGAGAAATTTTTAATAATCGTCAGCTCACTTTTATTATTTATGTTTTTTACATACATATTTTAAAATACCAAACACTCTTCAGTTTTTAAATGTTATTTAGCCTATTAAAAAACGTTGTTTAATGAAATTGATGTTAATTATCATCCATTTGTCACTTTTTTATTGAATAAGGCTGATTTGATGTTTACCTTAAAGGCCTATTATCCAGAAAAATCTATTTTCTGGATTTGCTAAGTCCCAATGATTCCAGATATGGTACTGGTACATTGCAGTAACAAATCCAGGTCAAACAGTAAAGAACAATGTTGAATGATTTCAAAGCAAAATTCAAATCAATGATTAGAGCTCTATTCTAATAATGGTGAATAACATTCCATCAATGCTGAATAACGTTCTAATTCTTCATACAATGTGAAAAAATGCTGCATAAAATTCCAATTCTCTATTCTAACAATATTCCATTTCACAGTGTTATTTTATACATATCTTTTATGTTCCGTAAGCCGAATTTTACAAACATATTTGGTTCGGTAGCTTGCATTCAATAAGAATTTATCAATAATTTGAATGACTAAGAGACATATGGAATGAGTTATTGATACTTAGTTTATATGTACAAATACAACAAAGCAGCATCTATGAGATGGAATTATTTAAAAAACAATATGCATCTTTTTTATGAACGTAGCTTTGAGCTATACCAGATATCTAGCATTCACAAAGCTATAACACAGATCAAAAAATCCAGTTGCTCAGAACTAAGCTACCACTCAATCAACTTTCAATTATATCCTTAAATGTGCAAAAATCATAATTTAAAAAGAATTTTAACATTAGGAAAGATATAACCAGGGTTTGTTAACTATAATAAAGTCACATTTATGTCAACAGAGTTTGAATAGAAGTTTTCTTATCATGTAATTTAATAGCATATCTTTGCATTTTTATAAAAGTTAAAAGAAAACACAAAAATAACTTTCAGCACATAATCTAAGAATATTTATCAACTACATAAAAATATAATTCATACTACATAATTCTTTTAAATTTAGATGGATCATCAAACAATAATTCTTTAATAATTGGTAACTTTTGATAATATTTGCTTGAATATTTGCATCGATGAATATTAAGCAGAAAATTTAGTTAAATATCAATGTATAAATTAGAAGTAAAATTATAACCCAGCTCAAAAGTGAAATTAAATAAATGTATGAATCACACACAAACCAGCATTTACCTTTCTTTTCAATAACTTCAATGCATTTCATAACAAACCTAGGCACTTTCCCATTTTCTCTCACACATAAATTTTCCAAGTGACAGCCAAATACAGGTTCATCTGCAAAAATGTAAGAGATTTTTTAAAAAACAATTTCTATATTCAGAGTCAAATTAGAACCGGCCTAATCAAAATTTTACAGATAAAATGCTTTGTTTTTTGGGTGAGAAAAAGGAGACCTAAACACAATGCAAAAGTCATAGAAATTAGTCAGTGATATACAATATAGGATTTCAAAAATAATATATATTTTATGTTAACAAACTATCCACGGTAAATAAGACCAAGTACAATTTCAAAGCTATGAGGGTCAATTTTCCCAAGATTGATCAGATGGAGTTTCTGCACAAACATATACTTAGTTTTAGTGTTATTTACTATAATCCAATCCCATGAGGTTTGAATCGAATTCGATAAGGTTGAAGGTTAAGGTTGATAAGGCTCTTTGTTCTAGCTTATATTAAACATATAGACAACAGATTAAGAATAATCTTACTAATGTAGATGACTGAATTATTTATGCAGTTCTGTTATACACATAACCTATTTAATTAATCACTTGTCTACTGGCTTATCTCATTTTAAAAAGCCAAACTTTATTAAATTTTTACATAAAATTAAATATTTAATAACAATGTAAAAATTTTCAAAACAAAAAAGTTGGAAAAAGAAAAACATTTCTTTTTTCAAATGATTTAAAATTATCAGATTTCAAATGACTTTTCAAACCTTTATTTTTAAATTCAGCCTCTGCATTGCAATGTCAACCATTGCATGCCCATTATTTTGTGTAACATTAGGCATAAAGTAAAAAAAAAATACCATTAGGAGGAGGAAAGGGAAGAATGATACTGAAATCTCTGAGTGTAGCTTTAAAAAACCAAAATGTTTAATATTCAAGGAAAAAAAAGCACTAACGCTAATTATACCACTCCTGTCAAATTTAATGTTCTACATCAATAATGGACAGCACATCATTGTAAAATTACAGTATGCATTTCCCACTTTATGAATTTTTAAAAATGATATCTTTGTGAAAATGATTAGCATAACTTGTATGCATATTCTAATAGAAACTAAGAGTAAAATTCAATTTTTTTTTACTTATTAATTTTTTCCTCTTTCTAATTCAGATTTTTTCCATAACAAATAATATTTAACACAATGAAAAACACAATAAAATATTGAGAATTCTGGTGGAATTCAAGAAACTCTTACCTAACAAAATTCCCTTTTCTCTTAAGCTCTCAAGTGTGGGTCGCCTTACAAAGAACTGTTTCAGCTTATTTCTAATTTTTCGTTTCTTTTCAGCTGGGATAGAAATATCATTTTCTGCATCTGCACTATTTTTTCCATAATTGTAATCTAATAAAAATCAAAGTTTTTAATGAGAAAAAACATTAACACAATTACAAATAGTAGGAAAAAAAATTTATAAACTAAAAAAACACAAACATTTTATGTGTTCAGAGAATATGTTTTTTATGTTCTTATACTTCTGGTTGAGAGCACTCAAGCATAAAAAAATTAGCTACAAAATTAAACAATTTTTTTTCCAGTTTATGGCATATTTTCTTAAAATAAAGAAGTAACTCTTTACAACTAGTAAACTGTATGAAACAAGGAAGATATGAACAAGTATTTTTTTTTGTTTCGAATATATTTTTGTATTTTCCTCAAAGAATAAATGCTTATGAAAATATGTGTTTACAAAGTCATTCAAAAAGATTACAGCTACAAAGATAAGAAATATTCAAAGAGAGAATTTTTGTTTAGGTACAAAAAATTTATGAGTTCTAAAGACAGAATTGTTAAAACAAAAATTAACTCATATAAAACCTTATTTAGACCAATTGCATTGTAGACAAAAGTACTGACCATTAAAATTTGAAAAAGTTGCTGATTTTTTATAAGACATAAGCATTCCCAAATTAGTGGTCTTAACGATCACTATTAAATTGTTCATCTTGTTGTAGAATTTACCTTTATTGAAGGTTTTCTTTAAATTTTGCACAAAAAAAACTGTTTATATTATATTTAACTACATGAAATACTGGACCTTTTACATTCTGAATCTTAATGTTATTACCAAACAAATACAGAAAGTGCAAATAAGTTGGCATTCTGGTATTATCACTCTACTTCGTAGAAAACAATTATATTCCAAATAGTTTTTTTGTCTAATTATCACAACCTTAAAAATGGATGTGCACAGTTAAATAAAAAAATTAAGATTTAAATTAACCAGAAAAAATAGAGATTTGAAATGATCAATCCTGTTTGATTCTATTAGACAAATTGTAAAATTCAGAATAAATTGTCATAATCATTGCATCATTCAGTTAAAATTTCTATATCATCCTTATGGTATTTGTATATTAATTTTTAGAAAACTACTCACTGGAATTTGCATAACATCCACAAGGATAAGATAAATAATCAATATCACTTGATTAAAATATTATCAATTTTAAGGCTTTAAAAAATGTCTTTCTTCGATGTGATGTGAGTCGATAAACTGTTTAGAGTAAAATAAAAAGTCCTTTAATTATTAATTTTTTTAAAATTTAGAACAAGAAACTTCTTGCAGAAATGTATGGGTAAGAATACTAAAGTCATTGAATTAGATTCATCACCTGAATAATCCTTACTCACATTACAACTAATTCTTTCTACTGTTTGTCCTTTTTTAAATTTATGAAAATAAAAGAACATCAAACTATGATAAATTTCAACCAATTAATTCCTTAATAAATTTATTAATTCTTCAAAAAGGTTATAATTTTATTGGAATCTAATAGAAACATAATAAATACACAATTTTGAAATAATAACAAAAAAGATACAGTGGCATTGCAAAAATGAAATATTGGATTTCACACTTACATATCAGTCTTATCATTTTGTAATTAAAATTCTCCACCTAATTGCAAATGCCAGGCTGCCAACTTAATATGCTTTTTGGGAAATTTTTTTCCACTGGTAGATTTCAAGTTATTTTCCACATCACTACACGTAAATGATTTAAAAGTTCATATGAAACACCACTTTGTTCTAGCTCTTTTGTGGTAAGGCTTTTAAAATGCTGGCTAAATCACCTAAGATTCTGAAAGCTTAAGATTTTAATTGTCTACACTCTGTAAGATATTTAAAAGTGTAGTAGTTGGCAGCCATACAAATGTAAGGGAGGTCAAACTAGAAAATACATAAAGCTTTGAAATATCAGCAGATTTTTCAGTAATTTTAATTTTATTGTAATTAAAAAAACTACTAAATTAAGAACTTACATTAAAAATATATATAAAAAAATAAGTTGAAACGTAGGATTAAAATTTAGGTTAAGTTTGTTTCATAAATTTAAATTTATTATCCATAATTTATTTTCAAAAGTTTTGCAAATAAATGGTTAAATAAAAAATTTGATACCCATTGTTCTCTATGTATGAAAATGATGTTATAAATCATATATTAATACATTCTGAGCTGAACTACATTTGGAATACTTAAGTTCAAGCTGCTAAAAAAGATAAAGACAACCAAGGCAATAAGTAATGCATCATGCCAAATTAATAGTTTTGCAAATGAAGAATAAACTTAATGGGAAGAATGAAATAGTAAAAAGAGAGAAAAGAAATAAAATTCCTCTTATCACACGGGTAAGTTTTGTTACTAGGAATTATGAAGTATTTCATACGTTTGGTAGACTTCGATCGTGATAGCTTAGCATTTTTCAGAGCATTGTCATCCCGATTATGAGAAGCTTGTTCAATGCTGGAAGGCTGAAAATACAAAAGCATATAAATAAAACATTATTTGCTTTTAATTGTCTGTGTATATTTATTTTATAAAACATATTCTATATAACTTAAGAAATGTTCAAAGAGCAAAAATGCCATGAAATTTTTCAATAAAACTATGATTTCAAAAATATGCAAAATAAGTAATAATAGTCTCATAAAACTAAGTTATTTCACAATGACTTTATGGGGAAATATTTTGATTCTTAAACAGTTCTTGCTGTGAAAACTCATTTTAAAGCTGAGCTAGATACTTTAAAATACATTTAATTACATAAAAAAATTTTTAAAAAAACTTAAATTAGAAAATTTTCAGAAAATATTTGAACTGAACTTACCAACATCATTATAGCAGCTTGAATAGTGTCGAACCACTCTTTAGTAGTTTGAGCATTATCATCTTGCAATAAAAGTTGATGTCCCAAAACAGTGCTAATCTATAAGAAAGAGTATATCACATAGATTGATTTTAAGAAACCAAATAGTTAAAAGCCTTAAAAAAAGGCAATGAAAATAATTTGTTATGAGCCAGAAAGCTTTAAAACTGTAATTGATATAATGATAGATAAATTAATAATTTGAATTGAAAAATTTAAACAGCTTATAAGATACCAGATACAGTCTTGCAAACTCTCAAACTTCTAGCCTCAATTTCTTGCTTTTGAGTTAAATCTTAGGATCTCAGGCCATCAGAGAATTTTCGTAACATTTTTTTTCAAGTTAATTGTATAAATGGCAAATCAATGTGCTTGTTGCATGCCACCCCAACACTACTTTCACTTGGCTTAACATTAATTCTTTTCTAGTAATTTTTTTTAAAGTTTTATTTAGTTAAAACTGCCTGATAAACTAAAAAAAGCATACGGCTGATTTTAAATATACATAAAAAAAGTCACTTTTTTAAGAGTTGTAATTTAATTCATGCTGAAACAGCTTATTTGAGTAATATTTCAACTGTTTCTCTTTCAAGAACCAAGTTGTTTTGCCAACCAGTTTTTTTAGTTAGTAGAAGTTTTAGTAAAAGATGATTTTGTCAAAACAAACCTGGGGAGTTTGTTGACTGTAGAGGCAAACCAGAAAAAGTAATATTTAAAAATAATGCTAAGTTGGACAGTCAGTCTGTTTTGAAATACGATAGTAATTTGATATTTTGTAAATTTTAAAGATTAAAAATTATGAGACGATTTTAATTAATTTAACTAACAGAATGTGTAAATATATTTGTGTCTAACTTTATTATAATTATTTTGCTAACTACGCTATGCAATAGTCACAAAAAGTTTCAAGCTTTAATGATTCTGAGGATATAATGAGGATGAACACTGCTATTTTAGTTACATGGATAAAATTAGAATTTTTTTTTCTCAAGAAAGAGTAAATAACTCAAGGACCAAAATGAGATTAATATTTTTTGTTATTAATGTACTCTAAAAATTTCATAGTTAACACATTAGCTAAAATCGTTCATGAAAATTTTATCTTGAAGAAAATAATTAATTTTAAATGAACTAATGCACAATTTGACTACATTTAAGCATATTAAAATTATTTACCTGGAAAACATTTTTCCTGCTTGATTTTTCAGGACACCACTCAACTAAAGCTCCATTTAAATCGATACAAAGTTCAGGTTTTATACCAGGTGAAGTCTATATAAAATAAATGAATTAAATAAACAAAATATTAAACTGAAACAACTTAAAAGTTATAAAAATATTGGTAAAATTTCAGTTTCAAAACTTAATACAATTCATATGAATTTTCCAAAAAAATTAAATAGTGGAGAATGAAGTTATAAAGCCCTTAAGCATTGTACAGCTATTTTCAGTCAAGGTTGAGAGTTAATGAGTTTAATGTATTCCATAATTGAGATTCTGAATATGAAAGAAGATTTTTTTAAAGTGTATAAATAATATATTGAAATGCATATTCTTTATTTTGGTCCAATACCTTTTAAAAAAATTTTTTTCTGGTAGTTGTAAGTTGCATGTGATTTTATAAGCAAAAAACTGATGGATTTTTTTAGCAATTATTTTACTCTAAGAGCAAAAAAACAAGAGATTAAAATTAAAAGAAAAACAATAGAGAAAAATTAAAACAGAAAAATTAAAATTTGATTGTTTGGGTTGCCACAAAAGTTTAACTAAAACACAAGAATCAAAAATTGCAGATTTTTAACAAATTATGCCAAGTAAGAAGGTTGTAACATCAGTTCTTAAAATGAATCTTTGAAATTAAATTTCTTTCTCTAAAGAAGTAAAATTTTTTTCTTTAATACTTTCTTCTCCAACACTAGATCGAAGCAACTGACACATGAATAAAGTTAGGGAGTTAAAAATTTGGAAATAATTCTATTTTGGTACTCCAAATCTCTCAAAACCAGATATATGAAGAGTTATAGTCTGTGGCTAGAATAAAAAAAATCACATTACGATTTGAAAAGTTGCAAAAAACAACTTATATAGAAAAATATAAAAGTCAGTTTCAAAATCAAATGGTCATTTTGCTTCAAGAGATCTCATCTGAAGAGGAACTGATGAAACCAGACATACCATAAAGCCCAATATAGTGTAAAACCTTTGTCATCATAAAAAAGCAAAAACTTTGTATCATAAAAAAGCAAAATCAGATTGAGCCTGCAAATATATATGCAAGGGCCAGCAAATATATATGCAGGGCCCCTCACCCTAAGCAATCGCTACCACCCCAAATGCAATAAAATTGTAAACTTGGCGAATAAAATTGTGTCTTGGTGAAAGTATTGGCAAATGATTTTTCCACTGGAAAGAAAAATGTATATTTAACTCGATCCTCAAAATTATGTCAAAATGAATTTTTCTCAACAAATCAGCATTTTTTATTCGATTACAGAAATTTCGGGTAGATGCACTGTATAACCAAATAGAAATCGATCCAAATAATATATGCCTGAAACAAACTACTGTAAAATAGTTTTCTATGGGAAAAAATTAATCTTAAAAAATTGTTAAGATTTGCATTTGACAAAGACTTTCAAAATTGGCAAATACTTTTGATGTTTGGCTAATTTACTGGATAATAATTTGAAATCCTTAGCTTGGGCCCTGTATGATATGAACATATATGGATGAATGTGCTGTTCAGTTTTATAAAAAGTAAAATTTAGATAGTGCAGTTGGCAACAGTTATTCTTTGAGATAAAAATATAGCAGTTTCAGACTGGTTCTCCATTTAGTCCTAACCTAAATACGTAAAAAATGCGTGATGTTTTGTTTTAGAAATTGTGTATGAGAACAAAAAGTAGTACTCACCAGTACTGGAATAAAATGAAGCCATTAAAACAACATGGTTCAATATTGATCCAGAAAGCATGTAAAGTTTGGTCATTTCAATGGAAAACTATGATTTAGTTGATTAGAAAAAAGGATTATAACTATAATTATATTAGAATTTTGTACTTTTGTTATCACTAAATGACTATTGTTGCTTGTGTTGAAATATTTTATGTCAGTTAAAATTGGTAAATAGTTTTTTAAAAAAATTTTTCATTCAAACTTTCAGTTATTGCTTTTTTTCTATATCTTTCCTCCTTAAATTATTGAAAAAAATAAGCATCATTTTAAAACTTCTAGATAAATGTTATGTGCGCCTAAACTTTTGTGACACACTGTAATTTTATCAACTGTGTAAGCATTTATTTAATACCATAGTTCACAGTAGTTATTATTATTGGTTAAAATAAGTGAAAATGCTATATAAACTAGTTTAGCAATTTTTTAAACTATTTTATTAGTTAAGAAAGTTGCAATTTTATCCTCAGAAAATAAAACTTCTTTAAAAGCTGTTGAACAAACAATGTTTAGCATTTTTGTTTAACTGTTAACTTGTCTGCATCTTGATTTAAAAAGTTATTGAATTTCTTTAAAAATAATAAAGCAATAGAAATTGTAACTTGAATCACTTATATTAATTGTTAACATACCAGATTTATCAAGGTGTGTATGTCTGCAAAAATATATCTTCACACAACATGATGTTTAGTATAAAATCCGATAGTTTTTATGAGTGTTACAGAAGAAACAAAATTATTATTTTTTTTAAATGTTCTAGAAAAACTTGTTTGTGATTTGTTGAATGAGTGCTCTTAAAATCAAAAACATCTAAAAGGAAGAAGAGTGTCCAACCTCTCTCTCTAACCAGAGAAATATTTGAAATCATTAAATTAGCTTGGATTGATTCCAATTGAATGATTAGATTCATAAAGGTTTTAAAAATATACAAAGTTAAAGAGTATTTATGCCTTTTCTGCATGTAACAAGCTACAAATTGTCAGCATAATTTTTTGCTGGTCTATTCTCGCTATTGAGGTTATCCTGTTCGACTACATCTTTAAGCAGTTCGTAAAGCATTGCTGCTTGGTGCTGCTAGTTGTCATTTCAGAAACATGTGAAATAAACTTTCATTGTCATTATTTTTCATAGAGTGTTTGCTATTTAGTAATCAATATGAAGCATCAACATCAAATGCAGCATTTTGTACACTAATTTGTTTTGAAGTATAGTTGGGAGGTTTATAGTGCCTTGTTGCCTGATAGCTGATCTGCATCACTTGATTTAAGAAAGTTAACACAATTGGGTTATATGGTGTTTTAATTAAAGTAGAAAATATAAACTTTTAAATAATGCTTTACAGTGTGTGAGAAATTTCTACTTAATAAATCTAAAGTGCTTCAGAGCTGATACTGTGATTTCCTTTGTGATTGAAAACATCAGAGCATCAATAATAATTAATATAAATTTTAATTTTAAAATTTTCAATACATGAGTCCTTCAAGAGATTCTGGGCGCTGGTAATTTGTTCTGTATTCTGTATCCATTGCTTCTTGTTTTATTTTTAAATGGATTTATTTCATTTAAGCTATTTTAGAATTGTAAACAAAAATATGCACAATTAAGAAAATACAAATATATTCAATAATGATGAATAAATAATGAAAGTTAGAAAAAAATATAAATAATTTTACCAAATGAGCTGATCTAATATCTTTGTAGAACAAAAGGAAAACATCTGTAAGAACCACAAAAGATGAAGTCCAATGCTTTCGAATTCTTTTTCCACCTTCAACTAATTTTGTTTTGTTTAAAGTTCCTTTGCGAGTGATTGACTGTAAAAAAAAAGCTTGTGAAAAAAAGTTTTAAAATTATTTATTAAGCAAACAATTTAATGAAAAAAAGACTCACAGACTCCTTCTTTAACATGTCCTGTAAAGAAATTAAATATTTTTTTTTTCATTTCAGTAAAATGAAAAAAAAAAGGAAAATGATTGCTTTCAAATAAATAATTTTTAATTAGGCTGGTCAAAGTTACTTTCTTTATATAAACACTGATAAATTTATTAAGATATTTGTTTTAATAAAGCAAATTTTCTCAAAGGTTCTGCAAATAATTCTCATAATAAGAACAATAAATTAAAGTACATCAAATCCAGATTAAAATTACAACTATCACTATCTATCTCATATACATCATATTTTGATGCATAAACATATTCCTCAAACCCCAAAAACTTTACAAAAATTAAATTATTATACACTAGTAATTCAGAGAGACATTTGTTGATTGTGAAATACTGATGCATTATGAACAATACAATAGATACAAATAACTCTATATGAATTAACCCCCTTCAAAAACTATTTTTAGCAGATTATATGCAATTAATTTTGCACTTTTCTCTCATATTTTTTTGTAGACATATAAGACAATTTTTTTAAAATTATGTTCAGTAAGCAGAGACCTCAACCTTCAAGTTATGTCACATGCAGTAAGATAAATTTGATTAACTGATCGTCTCACAGCATTTGTTAATGCAACTTTATTTGAAGGGGCCATTAATCAATTATCTGAAATTACTTTATGGTAACGTATACTCTTTGCAATATCTTTACCAAGAAAAGTTTAAACAATCAATAAACATTTGAAATTAAAAAAAATGAACAAAAGTCAAAATTGCATAAAAAATAAGTTACTAATGTTGGAAGGTTTTAGAATATCAATATTAACAACAATTATTTTACTTTATTATTGACTACACTCTGCATCACCTCAAATATAACAATAATTTATAATGGTTTTTGTGCTAATTTAAAAAGAAATTAATAGTTACATATTTTTGAAATTTTTCTTTTGAAATTTGACTAATAACATCCTATACTTTAGCAGTTATATCGATAGCAAAATCCAAAAAGGTAACAAAACCTCAAGTTAAAATTATAATTTAGTCAAATAAAAGTCATTATTTTATATCATTATTTAGGAGCACACATAATTTTGCATTCTAAATATAAAGCTTAAAAAAGATCTCAAATTATCATTCTACTTTGGTTTTTTTTTTACAATATTCAAGAAACACTTTTTACTGCACAGAACACTAAATAACTGAATTACAAATAAAATTAATTTCTGAGAGTTGAATAAAATAAATAAGCAAATAAATCAATCTGAAAACCAATAAACAGCTAATTAATGAATGAACAAATCAATAAAAATTAATGAATGAATAAATTTGAATGTTATGAATCAATTAATAAATTTGCAAATGGAAAACCTAAAGAATAGGATAAGCTAATGAATGAGACAGTTCATGAATCAGCCAATCAATAAATCAGAAGATCAATGAATCAGCATGTAAAGTAGTTAATTAGTGAATAAATAAATGGGTAAATTGATAAAAAAAAAGCAAAGCAATGAATCAATGTGTCAAAGAGTTTAAAAAATCAAATAGATAAATTAGCAAGTCAACAAATAAATAAAATAGGGAATGGATGAATTACCGAATGATCATTTTGATACAATGAATGAAATCATTGAATCAACAAATAAGCCAGTCAATGAATCAATAAAACAAGTATTTAATGTATAAGTCAATCAGAAAGTAGAAGTATCACTGATTCACTGACAATTTATTTGCTGACCCTCTGATTCACTAATTTATGGATTTAGTAACACGTTACTTCACTCATTTAAACCTTCACTGATATGCTAATAACCTCACTCATTGATTCCCTGATATGTGGATCAGCTCATTTATTTATTTTTTTGACCAATTGATATGCTGATTTCTTTGATTTGCTCATTTATTGATTTGCTTTTCATTAAATTATTTACTCAGTTGTATATTTTTCATTCACTAATTTGTGAGTAAGATTTATTTGTGAACTGTTATGTGTGTAAAAAGAACGGGTTCTAACTTAAAAGCAGGGTTCGTGATTTTTTTGATTTTTAAAAAAAAAATCAAAAGAATCAGATTTTTTTTAATTTAAATCGGATTTTTTTTATTTAAATCAGATTTTTTTGATTTTCATTCAAATACACTGTAAGAACTTTAATTTAAGATTTAAAAAAATTCTAAATGTTGAATCAAATTAACTTAATATTAAAACTATATTGTAACAATGTTTTAGAAGCTCTAACTAAAATAATTTTTCATTATAATGCATGGCTTTGAATGCATAGCAACCATTTTGAAACAAATGCATGATTAAAGACTAGATGAAATAGAAAATTTAAAGAATACTTCAGGGGTCTGTCTGGGTTTTTCTAAGAGTTACCTATTTTGTGAAAATTAAAAATTATATTAAAAAATCAACACAAATATAGTAAAAATATGGATTTATTGTTTCTTACGAGACACAAAAATAAAATTTTAAGAAAAAGTATTTTGTGTGATTATTCTATCATTTTTCCTAAAGTTGAATTTGTAAAGGTACCGGCTTGGACAGACCCCTGTGCTTTAACTATTAAAACAAAGTTTCAGTTAGCAAACCATAACTTTAATTTAAAATTGTGATTTCTTTTTTTTTTCTCTTGATTTTTAAAATGACAAAATAAATGTAGCAGACTGTGTTTATAAATGTAGTCATTCATCAAAAAATAAATAAATATTTAATCTATATATATTTATATTAAAATATTCATTTTTAATCTTATATCAAAATAGATAAGTTAAGCTAAAAAATTTTTTAAAAAAATCTATGTACTTATTGGAATTTTTTTTCCACAAAATTTCTTAATAGAAAATCTAATAATGTCAAAGATACTATAAACATATTATGAGAAAAAAAATTCCAGTTACCAGTTAATAACTCTACTGCCTCAAATAAGACTTTGAAAGGGAAGAATGACACTATATTAGGAAAAAAACATCTGAATTCATCAGCCCTTTTTTTTCTTCTTTTTCTGTTTTTGGCATATTAGGGTAATTTCTTTTTCACATAACCTCAAGCTTCAGAAATATTCATTTTCCACCAATAAAATATGATGTAGATTTTAATTCACGCTTTTTCATTCAAAAGGTAGAATTTTAATTAACATTATTTGTATTATTTTTTTAAAGAAATTCATGTTTATTAATTATTTTCTACAGCTATGCAAGTCTATATTAAGACAGCATTAAATGTTTACTTTAATCTGTACTTTCAATCTCAAGAAACAAAAGATTTTTAAAAATGTAATTTCAAATGTGTTGGAATTTAACACACACCAAGAAAGTAATTTCATTAACTAAAATTAATTAATGCAGCAATTTATTTAAATTAAATTTTAATACTAAGAAAAGAAAACAATAAAAGTATCAAAAATTTAAAACACTGTTTTTTAACTTTTAAAATCAATATATATAGATAAAAAAAATTAGTTGATTTAAATCAATGATTTTTTTAAAAAAATCATTTGATATAAATCATGATTTAAATCAAGCTGATTTAAATCAACGAACCCTGCTTAAAAGTCACAGTGAATAGCCAAAATAAAACTTAATTTGCGTTTTTCTTAATCTCTGCAGTAAGAACATAAATTACAAATGCTTTGAGACACATTTTGACTAGCATGAAAGTATGGATTTCCGCTATTTTTAGAAGCATAAAAAAAATTTTAAGTTTATTTTAATATACATATAAGCTATATTTCAATTATAATAAAATATATTACATTTAGTTTCTCTCAATTAAACAAAAAACTAGTTTATTAAGCTGGAAAGCTTACCTGTAATTTCAGTTTCTGAAAGTAAAAATTCAGTACAAATAATTCAGAGCAATAAATTGTATTAATTATTGTGCAAAACAAGAGTAGCAATTTTTACATTTTTAGAGCAGTTCAGATTTTTTTTCATATTACTAGGGAATTCTAAAACAATTATGTCTTACTTTTCTTCAAATTTACATTTTGCATCAATTTCATTATTAAAATAGAGAAAGATGCTTAAAGATGGACACAATTTAAGCTAACAGTTATGATTACTGGTAACAAATTTAGAACAGTACTAAAAATAGCATATTATTAACTAAAAAGCATAATTTCCCATCACAATAGAGCCTTCGAAAAAATAGCCTTAAAGGGAACATGCAATATATTTTTTATATGTATATGCAATATGATTTTCTTATAAATACCATAGGTAGTGGTTATTATGTGCATCTTAATATTTATCTTTACAACCTTTATTTGCATGATTATATTTACACTTACTGATTCACATAGAAGTTGAATTCATTTGCACATTAGTCTTCTATTTTATTTCATGAAGTCTACAGATATGGCTTTGAAGTCTATTTTTAATATTATTTTTAAATGGATTATTACAGCCATTGTGCTCCAGCCCCACACCTACAATGACGGAATGACAATACACATTAAAATTATTTGAATATGTTCTGTATTTTATATTATTTGCTGCAACTGTTACAGATATTTTTTGAAGTGTCATCCAAAATAAATCTGTTAAAGTTTTTGTTTGTTCTATAAAAAAAGACCACAAAAAAAAAACCCTTTATGATGCTATTTACTTCCAAAAGTGAGTGAAGAAATATGAAATAAATCAAGATATCAAGGAATAAAATAACCTAATGAATTGTAGGATGAGAGGACAAAACTACTTTTTTTAAGTTAAAAATAAATATCTTCACAAATTTAAAAATATATAATTCTTTTTTCAACCCACTAATCAGAAAAATATTTAACAAAATAACAATAATTTAAATCTGAAGACCAGAATATTTATGGTCAAATGATAGAAATTAAAATGATTAATAAAATAACCATCTCAAGAAAATAAAGATCAGATTAATTAAATAAAGGAGGTAAAAGTGTCAAGTAATTCAATAATAAATACAATAAGCTTCTGATTATTCAGGTTCAAGTTCTGAGATAAATTTTAGCATTTCTTTTCTATCATTTTTTTACTACATATTCCTTTTTTATCAATTTAGTGTTGTTACAAATCTTAATTACAAATAAAAAAAATGTTTTACCATGGTTAACCCACTGACAGTTCTGCACGCAAAAAGTCTTAATTTAACTTGCAGTCTTCTCTTCATAGTTAAAATCCGTTTTTACATGTTATGAGATAGGAAATCAGTGTATTGGGAAAAACATTCTCCCAATTTTACCTATTTGCCAAACTGCCTGTGGGTTAAACATCTCTTTCAGTGGCATTTGCCCTTTTTGATCCATTTGCAAATTAATTTTGGTCATTTGTTGTGCCAACCAATTTTGTGGAAAATAAGGAGCTTACTGTATTACAAAAACCAATTAATACAACTGCATAAAATACTTACAAAATGACCATCTTGAACAGAAGGCCAATACCCTTCTCCAAATGAAGGTGGTAAAAATCCTTTATTGTCTTCAGTAGCAGATAAATTTACACATTCTGGAACAATAAGGGACCTAGTCTTAAACTGTCGAAGTACTGGTATTCTAGGAGCTTTTCGTAGCTTTGGTGAAGGAGAATGATTGAGCTTGTTACTAAATGATACTTCCCGGGAGGAACTTTCAGCAGACTGCAAAGAACTCAAGCTTGCTTCAGAAACTTTGGACTCCTACAGTGTAAGCATATAAAAATGTCACTGATTACACTTACACTAAAATTTTAATAAAAGATTACAATGTGGATTAAGTTTTAATGAATGGGATAATGATTAATTTCACGCTTAGTTTGGAACACAAATATTTTAGAGTTGTAAATTTAGTTAAACTGATAAATAGTGGAGAACACTAATGAAAAAATTTGAATAGAATACATACTACTGTTAGAATAAAGCATCCTTAATTTTCTGTAATAACTAGTAATTTCATAAAATAACTGGTCATGTCAGTTAAATTTGTGAACTTATTTTGTTTTCCATGCTTTAACCAGTTGTTTGATAAAATAACAGACTATGTCTTATTAGAGTACAGCATAACTTGTTAGATACTACAAAATCAATGTAGTTTGCAGAGTAAAGGGTTGAAATATAATATGCTCCAGGAAAAAGAACAAAAAAAAAAAAAAAAAAAGTTGGCTCAAGTTTTAATAGTAAAATAGTTATTAAAATGTTAAAGAAATTTTTAATTTGATAACTTTTTTTAGTAAGTTTCTTTTGACACATCTAGCTTTTTTTCTTAATATGTAATTCATTCAAATTAACCCTCAGAATTCACAAAACGTTTATTTTCAGTAATGTTTGTTATTATGTAAATAAAGAATAGTTATTAAACTTATGACCAGGCTACTTTCGTGTGGGGGTGAGAGGGTGAATTAGAAGTTTTAAATGTGTAAAATATGTGGAAAGAATTGGGGTTATATTTCTGCTGCTGGAAGAGGGAACTTGATCTTTTTGGGGGTTCTTAATATGCATTAATCTAATAAAATTCAAACCATTTATTTACAAAGAAAAATGTTTCTAAATACATCAAGATTTTATATAAAATAAATACAAGTTAAAAATATCAAGAAAACATGGATAATAATAAAGAATAATTAAAAGAGACGAAAAATTATTAAGATAAAATATTTAAAAAACAAAAAACAAATATATATTAAAAAGTCTTGAAACAAAAAAAAATTAAATATATAATCTCTTCACCAGCTTGCACAATTATATCTGCAAATAGGAGTGCTTTTGAATATTGTATCATTATAGCCAAAACAAAAACCTGCCTTGGTTATATTGATACAATATTAGAACACACTCTTTTTTGCAGATATAACTGTGTGAGCTGATAAAAGGTTTTATATCTTTTCATTCTTTTTCCGGCTTTTTAATATATATATTTTAATATATATATTTCATTTTAAATTTTCTCCTTCTCTTTTCATTAATCTTTATTATTTTCCATGTTTTCTCTATATTTTTAACTTATTTTATGAGTTCTATACACTTGAAGTTTATGCACAATAAATAAAACTTATTAATTCTCACAATTTCCCTTGTTTCTCTTTGTTTAATAAAGGTCATAGAAAGTCATGCAACTCAATTTTTTTTTTATAGATTCTAACAAAACAAAATCTAATAACCTTCTGATAGGTAAAAATACATAGATGAATTTCCTATTTTATATACTTTCTCTATAATAACAAAAAATTTACAAGAAAGTTCTAATTACACTTTATACCTGCAAGAACTAATTGTTTGCATAACAACATGAAAAAATTTTCATAAGTGCAAAGGTATTTTATAGCTGAGCAGTATTTAGAAATGCTTTTATTGAAGGTGATAAATTTTTTTGAGAAATATGCTAGAATGTTCCAGTACGGAACAACTCATCAGTTGATTAACGCAATTTCAAGAAACAGGAAGTGTTCATGGTAATAAACGTTATTCCTAAAGTAACTTTTTAATCTTAACAAAATAGAAAATTGTATTTTGTTTTAATTAAAATATTTTTCATGGTACACTTTTAATAACTCTAGATTTGTAACTTAGACCTAAAAAGTAAATAAAAAAAAGCTATCAGTGTCTAAAACAATTGAAATTACAATACTGGAAATTTTTTAATACCTCAGTGTCAGATGTAATGGATAAATCTGGCAATTCCCATACAGATTCACAATTATCTTCATCATAAAAATATGTGCGTCCGTTTTCATCCAAAGAAGAATACCACTAGAAACAGAAATAAATACATTATTTTTGAAATCATTTTCACAAAATAAAAGCACTACAATAAAGTAAATACTGTATTTTAAATATGCATACCTGTGGCACAATATTTTTATTGTCAGAAAATAAACAATTTATCTCTTCAGAATAATAAAATAATTCTGAATCATTTTCAAAACATCTAGCATTTCCCATCACAGAAAATTGTAATTATTCTACAACAATATTAAAGGAAATGAGGAAGTTAAAAGAAAACTAAAAGGAAATAGGAAGTGAAGGAGGCAACTTCCTGCAGCTTCTGAGTGAAAATTGAAAAGGTAAAGCATTGGATACTGATGCAACTTATAATAAAACAGTTTAATTCTCATAAAATAGAACAGGAATTGAGGTAAGCTTTCCATTTTCCCATTTTGAGAAAAAAAATTGAATGATTATTGATAAGGGGAAAGGTTATCATTTTACAATAAATTTTATAATTATTTTACAGTAAAACTATCTTTTAAAAATATTTATATTTCCTTATACAGTTAATTAGTAAAATTAAAGTTAAAAAAACCTCTATAAATTAAATGAATATAGAGGGCACCTAATAGTGATCTGATAATTAATGAATGTTTCATGATTCTTGAAGAAGTGAGATGTATTTAGAAAAAGCAGTTTCTCTAACAATAGAAAAGTAATTTGACTTTTTTTATTACATTTTAATGCAAGTATCAAATTTTTCATTTTTCTATTTCTTTTTTTTTTTTTTTTTTTTTTTTTTTTTTTTTGAAAAAATTTCTTTCTCACAATCTCATTTTTTATTCTATCTCAACTCATTTATGATTCTCAAATATTTAAGTAGAAAGACACATGAAACTATTTAGAGTCAATAGCCTAGATGAATTTTAAATTTCTAACACTTTTAGTCTAGTAATTAGAGCAACAAAAAAAGTTCTTTTTTTTTTTGAAAAAATTAATAACCAAGATTTTTTTGCAGAAAGTTTTATTGTAAACATGTATTTATTATAAACATTGGTTGAAAACTACCCTACTTCCTCACTGTCCACTTCAAAATAGGGATCATTTTAGGAGGAAAAAATATGGGCGATTTAGGGATAATTGAATATGATTTATACAACAAGTGTGGTGTTGGTTCCAATTTATTTTTATCCCTGAAACGAATGAGACCAATCACAAGACAATTGGATCAATAGTTTGGAAGTTACAAGGGTTTTATGTACAAATTAGTACTTGTACCTATTTCTGTGTCTTATATTGCTATCTAAACAAGGGAGGCATTATTTCCTATGTATTTTTTCTACTAAACCAAATGAAGGTATACATAAGTCAACAGACTAAACAGTTTAGATGTTACTTAATATTTTATGTATAGAATGTACAATTTTTGACATGTTTTATGTATACTTTTTAAATCGATATATAAGGACTACCTGAACATGCAAAGTACACTTTATGATGTAATTTTTTTTAATGCTAAACTGAATGGGATTGATCTGAAAATGATTGGATTAAGAAATAAAAAGTTATGATGGTTTTTATAAGTCAGGGGCGATTATGACACTAAGTGAAAATTACAGTGCATTGCAAAAATTCGATATCAATCTATATACCATGTTAAGAAATGTAGATGTAAGTTTGATTACATTAATCAAACATCAAATTAGACATCAAATTACATATTTTTGGATAAAGAATAACAACTCTTTGTAACCCTTCGTGCAAAACAGAGTGTCTGAAATTCAAACTCTGACAGATCCTAAACTTTGGCAACACTGTCCAGGAAGTTCAAATCCTGCTGATAAATTAACTCGAGGAGAATCACTAAAAAGCCTTGTTGATGATAACTTATGGAAATTCGGGCCATCTTGGCTCATAGAGGATGAAAGTAAGTGGCCTCAAGAAAATACTGAAATTAATCATCAGCAGCATTCAGTTGATTTAGAACTTAGGAACAGCGTTATTTCTCAACACAGTTGCCTCGCAGATTCAAAAGAGACTTTACTGATTTTAGAAAATTACAGTTCTTTATTAAAGGTGAAAAAAATTGTGGCTTGGTCAAAGCGGTTTATCCAAAACTGTCGAAATTATGACAAACTGAAAGGTCCATTAACTACTGAAGAATTGAAAGAAGCCAAAGTTATTTTAATAAAGGAGGCGCANCAGTGGTGTCTACATCAAATCAAGTAATGTCTCCCTCAACATCTCCAAAAGGAATCCTGATTTCTGCTCGGTGTTTAGAAGTGAACTCATTGCTATTGATACTGCCCTGGATTCTCTTCTAACACTACAGGATCAAAATAACATCTGGATCCTCTCTGACAGCCTCAGCTCCATACAATACTTAACGCATTGGAGGAAGGTGAGAGACAAAACAGGTGCTTCAATCCTACAAAAAATTAAAATCCTCTCACGATTGCGTGAAGTCCACCTCCAATGGATCCCTTCTCACGTTGGGGTTCTGGGCAATGACATCGCCGACACTCTGGCTAAGGAGGGGACGAAAGAAAATCTGATAAGTCCAAATTCCCTCACCTTCATGGAGCTGGCATCAAAAAAGAAAAAAGAAGACCTCGCTTCCTGGCTCGTACCCCCCAAACATCACTGGTACCAGAGCACCAGTCCAGGAGGTGCACTCAACATTCGGTGCAACCGCAAGGACCAGACTGCACTTACCAGGCTTATCAGCGGCCACCTTAAGTCCCTTTCTTTTGAGGGTAGTATTAAAATCTACCCTAACTGCCCCAGGTGCCACAACATGCAGGCTTCCCCCCAACATATACTGGACTGTCTAGGTCTGGACAAAAGGGACATTCTTAATAACACACTTATGGTGGCCGACTTCCTCCGGGTGATGAATTTCATGGACATAGTTTAGCCCTGCTAATTTTGGGGATAAGGAAGAAGAAGACAAAACACAAATTTAAGTAATCCTTTTTTGACCAGCTCCATTTAATCCTAAATTTACATTAGCAGTTTTTGCTATTAATTTACAAATGACTTTTAAAAGCAACTCTTTTTAATAAGTCATTATTATGACATTTGAATTTTTTCAATTTTCCTCTAATTGGAAATTAGTTTAATTGATTTTTTATTGTCATGAATTTAAAAAAAAAAATGCTTGGATATTAGAAGTTATATTGTATTAAAGATAAAAAAACATCTTTTGGTACCTTTTTTTTGGAAGCTTCATTAAAATAATAACAAGTGCCATTTTCTGAATCAGTCATTTGGCTCCATCCAGGTGGTAAAATGGTAAACATAGTTGGCGATGATTGAGATTCTAAACTTTCATTGCTACTATGAACCAACTTTTTTAGCTTGGGTTTTAGCTGTTTAGGTGGTGGTTCGGGAACAACTTTGATAGAACTATTGTTAGATTTTGGACTATTAGATTCACTGTTGGAGGATGGAGACTGCAATTGGGAAATACAAATCATTAGAGAAGAAATTCATAATAGTAAAATGAATGCATGGGTAATTATTTGAAATATTAATTTCCTAAAAATTGCAATATAACTTGAGGGTGTGTTTTGATTCCAGATGATAGATTGCTTTGGCTTACTAATTCGCTAAGTTATAAACATACGACTGATATTCAAAATATCATTTATAACTTACTTCAAGAAAACCAATGATTTAAAATAGAGTAATTTGTTATGAGGCTATATCATTCCAATAGAACATTAATGAATACAATAATATGAATGAACTATATCTGTTCACATAATCTGCTACAAAAGCATTTTGATTGGAGATTTCCAATCGTAAATTAGGGCGAAAGCATTACAAACAGTTCTGCTCTAGTCATAGTCAGCACACAAAAAAACCAGCATCTTTTTCAGAAGTGTAAACAGATTAAATTAACTTTTTAAAAGAGTGTGCAATGCTAAATTGACCTAAAAACATTTCAACTTTTGATTGAGCCAATCAAAAGTTAAAATGCTTTTTGGTCAATATAAATATATATGTATTTTTTGATAACTACTTTTTGGTATGCTAATTTCCAGTTCTTAAGAGTGTAATATAAATACCAACTTAAAAACATCTGGTTTCTAAAATTAAGTTTCTTCAGCGCAAAATATTTGATAAATATAAAATTAATTACACTTTTACTTCTGGAAAAAAATTGAAAAAATTAGCTATGGTGAAAGAGAAAATTCCTTTTGTTATGTCTCACTTATTTTCTAATTTATGTTTATACAGAAACAAAAAATAAACCAATAAACATGTAAGGCAGAACTAATATTTTTCATACAAATTTCCTTTTTTTAAAATCAAAGAATATTTAAAACTCATATCTTTTTTGATTTGGTAGAATAAATAATATTTTTAGTGATAAATCTATTTTATAAAAAATACGATTTAGCAAATTTTCTATATATGAGGTATTTGCCCTTGCAATACTATCATTGTGAACTGATACAGTTATGTAAAAATAGTTGATTTGGTAGCAAAAAGAATGGTTACATTTTTCAGATCAACAGCTACATAGGTTTAACTGTCCTGATATAAAAAAATGATGAGTAAGTCGTTTCACAATTTTTTTTATTTCAAGGAATAACAGCCCGTTCACATTTACATGTACCACAATATTTAATAACTTAGAGAAAAGACATTAAAAGCATTAGTAATAATGTACAGTTTCATAAGAAAAAAAAAGGGCGAATTATGAAGAGAAATTTATGAGAGTGTTATTATTTTTTTTAAATATTTTTAACAGGATATTCTCTTTTCCATTCTTCCAAAGAAATAAGGTATGAAAAGCTAGAATTGAAACATACAATTGATATTTCATTTATTTGGATGCTGTAGAAGTTAAAAAGTGATCGTCCGAACATATTTTAAGTTTTGTTCCCACCAGTTATAATTATAATACTCACAATATTAATAATTATAATCGCATGTTTAATTGAAGTAATGTTGAAAAGGGAATGTTACAAATCTGAACTTTCGAGAGAAACCAAAAAATAAATAAATAAAATACTGTGTCAAATATGAAAAGATTGTTTTAATTGCTTCCAAATTGTTGGATTCTCTTCTTTAGGCAGTCTAGAAAATTACTCGGCATTTGATAATCGGTGATTGATATTCCAGAACCAACTAAAAGCTTATTTTCATAAAAAAGTTACACACCCTCTTTTAACATTGAACGCTTCAATGATAGATATATAAATTATAACTACAATAAATGTGATAAAAATAACAATTTTGTTGCTATCTTTGAGGCATTGAACACACTAAAAAAATTGCCATACTGCCGCTTATATAGCAGCATTAGTCCGTTAAGGATTAACTTATTTAAGCGAAATGTTATTTTAACTTTTGAAATAAATGTGTGGATTACCTGCATGTTTTCATGACGCCGCGGTGGTTTCCAGGTTACCTTTCGCGTAGAGGAATGATAGTAATATTTACGTCCACTATCTTCTTCGACATATTCAAACCAATCATTGCTAAGTTTTCTTACAGGTTTATCGTGATTTTTGGGTACAGGTGGTAATTTACCAAATTGCAAAGGGAGGTTCATATAAATTGGAGCCTCTGATTCCTAAAACAAATTAGTTTTTAATCATATTATGAAAATACAGCTATTAACAAGACATGCAAAATTTTTTAGCAAAGTTATAACATTAATTAAAATTCCATTCCCAGTATTAAAAAAAAATTATAAAATTCTACTGCCTGAACTAGTTTTAAAAACAGTTTCAATATTTAAAAAGTAGCCTATGCAGTAAACTAGTTTTAAAAATAGGTTAAATTGTTAAAAACTAACATTTCCAAAAACAATCCATATTGGGCAATTTATCAAAAGCTAATTTTTTTATATTTTAATCTAGAAACAATTGTAGCTGAATAGATGTAAGAAGAGATTAGGTAAATTTTGAGGAAAATGAAACTACGTTTATATTAGAAAAATAAATCCCTGAGAAATGGGGGGAAAAGTTTAGAGGATGATACAGTTTGGAGATGTATAAAAAAAAGTTTATATATATATATATATATTCTTAGTACAGTCTATTTGTAGTAAAAATATGAATAACTGAAATGCCCTTGTATTTGAAAGAAGTGTTTCATACAAATAACAATATGAGTAAATGGATCTATATTTTAATTCTAACAGTGCTATATTATAATCCTGAGAACTGCTATTCTTAAATTAAGATAAACATTTCACATATGTTATAAAGTATTCTGTAACCATACTATGAAACATTTTGTGAAATATTTTACATAAATAACATTACTAATAAATGTATTTTAATTCTGCTATATTTTAATAATTTTACTTTATAATGTGATTGTAAATAATCTAATTTTTTGAGAACCATCTGTAAAAATTCATTGTTTTGCTTCTTAGGAAAGATATATTGTGTTCTTGAAATTGATGTTAAGCACTCTAATTACTTTTAAAAGTGAGCACTAGTCAATACAATTTTATTTAGTAGTTAAGCATGCTATATTCTGTGAAATATCAGATCGTAATTATAAGACTTTAGAAAAAGTTAATCATTGCATAAATGAAAAACAAGTATGATTTAGTAAAGCTTCATTATCAGTACCCACAGGTTTTTGAAATTTTTTAGCGCCAAATTGGGCATTAACTGATGATAATCTGGTTTCAATTTGAAGGTAGAAACAGAAAGTAGCAGGTGGTGATCAGCAAAAGGGATGATGATGATGTAATGATAGTTTTTTTTTTTTGCGAAAACCGAGTGGAGTTTAGGTTATTCGAATTTAATTTTAGGAATGTGTTTTTCGCGACATTAATTTCTTGTTTTTGTGTAAGCTGAATGTTTAGGTGGGAGTTAATGCAATTTGTAAATACAGTAGAGCGCTGATTATCCGAACTGTGTCCGAAATTTTTTATTTTTTTTTAAAGTTTAGAATACTTTTTAACTTATCGACAATTTTTCTGAATTTAGAAGAATAAATAATATCCACTACATCTGATTTACAGCCTTTTTTAGCAGTTTTCTTATAGTAGCCATGCATACATGAATTGTTATACAGTTAAACCTATATACCCCTTTAGCCCTCTTCGACTGAAAATCATCTTTTAAGAATGCGAGCTTCAATTTGACAGTCTACAATGGTTGGATTGCGGAAGGAGTTTATGAATAGATAAGTGCTGAAGTTCTACAATTGGGGGATGGGTAGTTGTCACTTATGGTTAATGATTAGTGATTACAGTGCTCAGAATCTTAAATCTTGGAATAAAATTCTGAACAGAAAAACAAACTAAACTGAAGTTTCTGAAGCAGTAGATCCTTCGGATCAAAAGATGCCAGGTTATACAGCAAAAGAAATAGAAGATTGGTCTCGAGACACTGAAAACGACCAAGGATTTCAAATTTTAAATGATGATGAAATTGTTGCTGAAATTTTGAATGAAAATTGGAACTCCACAGACGAAGAGGAAGAAGTAGGTGATCAAGTTCAAGATAGTGGACCTTCTCATATAGAAGCATGCAATTCATTAGATATTGCAATGAATAGGCTAGAGCGTCAAAATGATGTTGATTTGTTTAAAAAGAAAAAGGGATATGGCTGCTCAAAAAAGAGCATCTTCTTTGAAACAAAAGTCTTTGCTGGATTTCTTTTGCAATGGAAAATGATGAAAAATGTGGTAAAATCAGTAATTGACAAAAGAGTTATAAAAAGTTGAAATATGATAAAAATAATTCAAAATGAAAAAAATATTAAATAAAAATTGAAAAAAAAAAAAAAAACTTTTAAGCATGCCAGAGCTATTTTAGATAGTACTGCCAGTCCTAAGGATAGAAAAAGTGTGAAGGGAAGTTAGTGCATAAATAATAATCATTTATACTAGATTTTAAACATCTTTCCAATTATCCGAACTTTTCATTATCCGAACCATGTTTGGTCCCAAGCAGTTCGGATAATCGGCGCTCTACTGTTCATTCGGATTTAAACTTGCTGATGCAAAGATTACTATTTTTGTTGTATTGATTTGAGTAATTTATGAGTTCAGAGGCAAAATTTTGAGAGTTGCAAATTAAGATTTCTGAAGAAAAAAACGGTTTTGGTTGTTAGTAAGGTCAGCCTGATCATCCTAATCATGTGTGTCTTTATAAGTTATTCACGTGTTATAAAAAATGAAGTTGTGCAAATAATTATGAATTTTAGATAAATTTGTAGTGAAATAATATATGATAAACGTGGTTGTTATTTGAAGATTGATTAATGGAATTATAGCTTTAAGGTGAGTTTTCATGGATTTATATTATGCAGAGTGTTAACAGAAATAATGCCAGGGGGAATGATTTCATGTATATCTGCGGTATTTTTGTTTAATTAATGTTTGAAATTTAACCTACATTGATGATTTTTTAATGTTGAATGTTAATGCCCGGGATGCATGTAACCAACTTTTACAACAACAGATTGTGAAGAGAGATTTTGAGTGCACTGATTAGATTTCTCGGGAGTGGCACTTAACTTTTAAAAAAAATACATCAGTGTAGGATATACTGGACAAATGTATTTCAGGCAGTTGCACTTAATCTAAAAATAAAAAAAATCAGTGTAGGGTATGCTTTAATTTTTAATCACATCACTTTCCAAAAAAATAAAATATTATAAATACATAACTGCTTTGAACTAAAATATTATATTTTTTTTAAAAACAAATTGCTTATTTTGCAATGACTTAATAATATAATTTGCACTTGCAAATCGAGTCATTGCAAATGAAAAACGAGTTGACAAATGCAATACTGAAATCCTTGACCACCTAAGTTTGAACCCTTATGAGAACATTCTCTTAAATTTATTTCATTCACTAAAACTTCATTCGCTGAAATAAAAGGTTCTTTACAGACAGTTGTATTCCTTGTGTACAGTTGTTTTAAAGTGCCATGTTTTGTACGTAGTTTATAAAAGTTTTCATTTTTATCTTTTTTTTTGTTTTAAGCATGTCTAAATAGTTGTTAAAACATGATTTCATAACTTCCAAATTGTCATGCATTGTACCAAAGGATTACATTTACCAAACTTCATTGATTATTATTAATAAGAACTGGTAAATGTGATAAATTTGCTTACACACTTCCATAGAAAACCTGCTTTTCAATCTGCAATGAAATACATACAGCTTTGGAAGTGTGCTCAATTCTTTTCTTAGGGAGTGACAGATTTTGAATGACTATAATTAATAGTAGATTTAACAAGATTGAACAATCCACATTTGACTATATTCTGAAATCATTATTCCCTGTAATTAGCAAAAATTATGTACTTACTTGAGTAAAGGAATTGTCACTAAGTTTTGAAACTTCAATATTTTCTAACTCATTTGATGTTAGTTCCTTTTGGGAAGGTAAAATATTTGATTGACTCACTGAGTTCTTTCCACACTCATCATTTAATTCATCATTATAGCAAAGAGGATTGCTAAATGAAAGTGCATCTCTACATTGAGATTTAGAAATGCCATTCTCTGGATAGCTTTCTACACTTTGACTTTTTGAGGTTTTACTTTTAAAAGTTTGATTTAAGTTGTTATCTTCCAGTTTGTTATTTTTGGTGAAGTTTGAATTAACATCAGTTGAATCTTTAGTAAACAAAGAAATGATGCTTAAATAGTTGGACGGAGCATAAAAAGGTTGATCATCAGAGTTTCGAATAACTTGCCACCAATTTTCATTTGATTTCTTAAGAAGTAACAGTTCTTCTCCAGCTTTCATTTTAACTTCATTACCTTCCTCTGTATGATAGGCAAAATCATATAGCACTTGAACATACACCTCAGACATTTCTAAGATGCTCAAATGATTTCTTCCAACAATCTACAGAAAACCATTCGTAGAAAAATGAAATCGAACCTGAAAAATAAACAATTATTTTGTTAAAAGTATTGGGGTAAGATAAGAGAGAGAAATAATAAAATATTTGAAATAAAGGTATTTAAATAAGATAATTAAAAATTAATACATTTCTTAAAAAGTAAGAAAGACATTGACAACTTCTATTTTATTTTATTATTAAGAAATATGATATGTACGTTTTAAAGGAATGGTATAGATAGAAACAAAGAACCATCAATCCATTTTCTGAAGAAAAAAAAGGCTATTGTAATTCTGAATTTCTTCTTTACACTAAAACATCTTCAACACAGTACTTGAAAATATTAATTTTATGATTGAAAAATACACTTAAAGAGCTCTCAGTAATCTGAGTAAATGTCAGTGTCATATAACTTGGATAATTTACATGTATAATGTCTTTTACAGTAATAAATTTAACTACTCATTGGAAAATAAAAAGACAAACAGAAAATTAGCAGAAGACAAAGAAACAGCAGACTTAGCAGCTTAGTACCTAAAGTAAATTACGGTATGTTTGTCAAGAAAAGTGAGATTTCGTGATGAGAAAATGTAAAATACGGAATTGGTAAAAAGTTTTAATTTATTTTAGCAATATTAACCTAAAAAATATTAAGAACGATTTTAAAAAAAATAAAAGTAGGTTAAAAAAATCATCCGCAAGGCTCTAGACTTATAATAGTAACTACAGATAAAATACTTTAATACAGATAAAACCCATAATTATATTAGTTAACAATTGAGATTATTTTATATTGGTTATAATATTCTCCTGAAAATTATTTACCAGGTTAGAGAATTAGCGAAAATATTATTTTAATAAGGTTACAAAGTATTTCCTTAAAATAAATTTACAAACAAAATGTGTTTTATATATATATATATTTTCTTTTTTTGACAGGTATGAGACTGCTCTTTGGAAAACCATAAGGTCATGCTGCCAACAAGAGAGAGACTGTTGAAATAAACCAATAATGCTTACATAAAGTTAGTGGCTTTACCATTTGATATAAATTTTATAAAATATTTAGAAATTCAAATAAATAACAATCTTATAGAATTAGAGTGACAACAGACAGATAATGGAGGATTTGCAACAACAGAATATTTATTCCTGGTACTATAAATTACTTGAAATGTTAAAGGATAAGGAACAAGAACATAGAGAAAGGAGGAATGGGTATGTTTTTGATATTTACATGTTTAATCATAGTTAAATCTAAACTGCCTTTCAATCTTGTTATTTCGATCGCCTCTTAAAGAGGAATGGCTTCTCAGCTCTGGCAGCTTGACAATCTACAAGTGGAGCTGAGAAATTTAAAGTAGAACAGTTTAATGACTATTGGTGGATTTACAGGCTAATCAAAGCAGTCACCAATCTGCTCTCTGAACGCAGTAGATGCTTTACTTAGAATTGTGTCTTATGATCAGTCTAGTTTGGGACATTCACTGTTTAGATTTCCTTGCTCAGAGAAAAGATTCAGTATTAAAAGAACAAAAGATTGCAGCAGAACAATTCAAGTAAAAATAATATTTTGAAGGTTTAAGAAAAAAGTGATTTAGAAAAACTAATAGTAGTAAAAATAATAGTGATAACTGTATAGTAGCAATATAATTGATAAGCTGATAAGTAGCAAGATAGATAAAAAATAGTAAAAATAATTAAAACTCAATTTAAGCCTTCATCAACAAACCTGCTGAAATTTAAAAATCTCTTAAAAAAAATACAGCACAAATCTCTTAAGAAAAATACATCTGGAAACAAAGGTGAAATTAAAGCAATTTTTTCAATATTTTAAGTAAGTATTTTCGTACTTTTCTCCAAGTAAAAAATTATTTTTTTTTTCTAATTTGGTAATAGAATTTTTCTGTTCTACAGCTAAATGTATTAAATATTGACAAGTACTAAGAAATATTATCAATTATTCTTCCCTCCCCCCAGTTCTAATTTCCTTTCAATGATAGAACAGTGAAACTTATGACTTGGAACGTCCCATGGATTGACAGTATTAAAGGCATTATTTAGATTGGGGATAACCTTTATTTTAGGATGTTAAAGGAGAGGACATTTTCAAATTCCCTGACTTTTCATTGATATTTCCCTTGTATCATGCAGATAATATTTAAAATTGAATTTTATTAAATAAAAAAATAATATTAATGGACAGATTAATATTATAAAATAAACACTATGTGCTTGAAAATGAGGCAGGTTTCATTCTAGACCTTAAAAAGGGTAGCATTCTAGAAACTTAAAAAGACATTATTTCCCCCCAAAAAGGTACATCCATCAATAAAGAAGCATTATATTTCACAGAAATCTGAATAGCCTTTAAAAAACTCAAAATATATTCTTAATTTAATATTTTTAAAAATCTTGTTTTCAAAGAGTTAAATAACTGATAAATAATTTCACAGCAAAATAAGCATGTTATATAAACCAGTTTTAAAATGAGTATTATGCTGCTTTTTGTAATAATGTTTTAAAATATCAGAACTTTAAACATGATGTTAAAATGGCTGAAAATTGATAAGTAGCTATAACTTCCAGAAACGCGATCAGAATTTAATGTGGATTTGAGTTTGAATTGTAGTGAATATCGGGTGCATAAAAAATTAATTACTAAAATATGAAATTCACTAAACACAACATCACATTAAGGATATTGGATTTGAAAAGAATCACACAAAAATAGCTAAAAAACAGACAAATATCAGCCAATAAATGATGCAGATTTACCATGGAATTGTTATGAACTGAGTGAGTTAAAAAGTGATTCCTAAAGTTTGAAGTGCAGGCTTATCTTAACAACTCTGTATAAAAAATATCAGATTTAGAAAAAACAGGTGGAAATGGCGGAAAAACAATTGGGAAAAGAGGTGGAATACTGTCGCAAATCGAAGAATTCAATAAGTGACAATTCAAATTCAATCGCAAGTTGTAATAATGTATTAAAAAAAATTAAGTTTGAAAAACTAAGTGGAAAGAGCCGAAAAAAATAATAAATAACAGCTGAAAAATGGCACATTAAACAATGTAAAATTTTGATGAAATAGTCGGGAATTAAATGTGTCAAAAAGTGGTAACTGAAATTCAAAATTCTCACGTAATAACATCATATTAAAAATATCAGAATTTGAAAATCTATGTGAAAGAAGCTGAAAAATTTTATAAATATAACTAAATAGCTTGTAACTAAATAAACAACTTGCGAAAGAACAGTCATCAATTACGACAGAAAATTACCATGCAATCTCTAAAAATCAAATGGGTCAAGAAAAGATAACTCAAAATCGAAATTCTCACCTTGTAATAACATAGTATTTAAAATATCAAACTTATAAAACTATGTGAAAAGAGGAGAAAAAGGATGAATAACTGCAATCAAACACAAACGTGAATCAAACAAGTCAAAAAAGGATTACCCAAATTCAAAATTTGCACATCTGTAACATCATATAAAAAATATCGAAATTTTAAAAACCATGTGAAAGGGGCTGAAATGATAAGTTATGAAAATCTCAAAGATGTGGAATTACGACAAAATAATCGTAAATCAAATGCTTCAAAAAAGTGATAACTCAAATTCGAAATTCACCTGTAGAATACTAAATACATTGGAATACTAACTAATACAAAATAAATATATTGGAATACAAACTAAATATATTGGAATTTGAAAAACCATATGGAAACGACCCCTTCCCCCCCCCCCCAAAAAAAAGATGAATTACTTTTAAAAAAATAATGGAAACTTTAGAACCACTGGGAAGAAATATGGCAGAAAACTCATTTGTGTCATTCTTAGTGAAGCGCCATTCACGGATTGAAGCATTCATTGATCGCTTGTTGTTGATAACTTTACCTGTTTTACTAACATTTTAGACAAATTCCCTGATATTTCCAGAATCAATTAATTCCCTGATAATTGTGGGTTTCTCCTATCCCTGCTATTTATGCAATTACCTCACCGCATGTCAGAGTAGCCAAATGTAAGTTTAAGCTTACTGATAATTAGTATTTTCTAACTTAGAATCCATATTACTTTGGCTAAATACTAAGGTATAATATAATATTTATATGGTTTGGGGTCATAGTCCCTAGGTGATATTCTCCCATCGTGATCTGCTGCACCAACTAAAATTTCCAAGATGCCAAATGGATTTTAAACTTGCAAATTTTTAAAAAAAAATTGGTAAATTTGTCCGGGGGTGGCTATGAGTTATACCCTTTGAGTTGGACAACTTCTGTGATGTTTTATTTAGTTTCTCAAAAAATTTGCCAAGATTGAGCGGTTATTCTGATCACGATACAGAAATCTTTCCTGTCCCTTTAAAGTTATTGGTTGAATTCCTAATTCTATACAGTTATACATCATCATTTGGTTTAAATACAATATGTACATGAGACAAAAATCAATTTTTGTCGAAACCAAAATAAAAAAATGAAGGAATGAAATAGCATGATGCATTATAGATCATAATTTAACTTATACCTCTCTACCTAGTTCAATCAACACAACATATTTGTTGTGGGATTTATAAAATATCTAACGTATTTAATTGCAACACGTTTTAAATATTTTCAATCTGAAAGTAATTCTGAAGTAAGATTCTAAAACTATTATAGATTATTGAGGATAAAACCTATAACGTGAATGAAAAGTAAGGAGATATTTCCGTATCGTGAAAAAGTAATTTGATAAAGAGCATTTTTATAAGTAACTAAAACTAAACTTTTACTTACAACAAAAACTTAAGACATGACATAGGATATCCTAACTACAAACTTAGTATTTATTTAAGAAAAAAGGGAAAGACACAAAAAATTATTCTTATATTAAAATTGTTATGTAGAAGACGTATAATTTTAACATCTCGTAATTATTAAAGCGATAAATTTGAACTTGCATCATCATATAACAAATTAAATTGCGTAATATAACCAAAACTGTAAAAATAATAATATGACTGATGCGTGTCAAATCATTTTAATAATTAAATAACTAATTAATAAAATTTTAAATTGCCAACATCCTTCAAAAGTTTAATCAGTTCAGTTTACGAAACGGCTCAATTATTAGTAAACATTGAAAAGTGGAAGTCATAGTTCTTAAAATCGACAGCTGAGGTAATTTTCAGCAGACACTTGCAGCCTGATAAAGATGAATCTCAAAAGAATAAATCTCATTGGTTAATTCTAAAATATGCTCTTTTTACGTTTCTTGGGTTTACTAGATTTGGCTAGTTTAGCTTATATTAACAATTAATAACAGTTTTAATTCTCTTGAGCCTCATTATAATAAAGGAATGTATTTTCACTGAAATAAAGCTCAAAGTAATCGCAAATTTTCTTGTTTGCTTGTCAATTTATAAAATAAAACTAATTTCTTCACACATGAATATCATTTGTGGGCAGTGAAGGGAACTTAAAGGGGTATCCAATTGACAAAATGGAATGGCACTAAAACTTTAAATTACAATTATTTTCATTAATTTTAATTTTAAACAGAAAATAATATGATGCCCAGGAAAAATTAATTATGAAATTTTAGGGCATTTTAAAATACTGATGAGAAAAATAATTTTCAAAATTTATATATTCTTCACATATTAACTGTATTTTAAGAAAAAAATTAAAATATTAGTTTTAGTTTTTTAACACTATATTGGCGATCGAAATGGGCTGCAGGTGGCGTAGAGCAGAACTCTTTTCCTATGGCAACACTTCACATGCTTTCCCCATTAGCGTGTGGAAAGTCATAGAGGAAGGAAGTACGTTAGTTTCTCTCGTGATTTTCATATAGATTAAAATCTTTCAACTTGAAACACTATATGAAACTGAAAACTGCATTAAACATAGTTCTAAAGAAAAGTATCACGGAAATTTTAAAAAATATTTTTATTAAATAAAAAGGAAAAATATTAAGAAAAGGGAAAATAGCGTAGTACATTCCTATACAACTGAAAAGAGGAGGAGAGGGAAGGGAGAAGGG